TTTAAACCATTAAACCATTGCTAACCTGAGAAGTACTACATTTTGTGGCAATGAATTCCAAAACTCACGTTTTGTGAAGGAGTATTTTCTTTCTGCTGTTCCTGAGGCTTCAGGGAGTGCATTTTATCCAATTACTGTCTCCCATCTATAGAAAACTTCTATCACTAATAAAAGGGATATGATTTACTCTCTTCAACTGTGAGAGCAAGCGGAGGAGAAGAAAGTGGAGTCCCATTGTATGAATGAATGTGAAAAAGTTGGATTTGTTTGGTAGATAATACTGGGTGAGAAAGATTTATTTATTTTAGCAATTTACATAATGCCTTATAACAAAATTCTCAGGATAGTTCACAAATAATAATAATAAAAACAAACAAACAACCAAGCAGTTTCAGTTAAAAAAATCTACTACAGTAGAGTATTGTTTATCCAACTTTCAGTCATCCAACATTTTGTATTATCCAACACAGTCTGCCTCCTGTCCGGATCCACAGCTGTTTTAAGACATTGTGATGTTTCGGTGCTAAATTTATTTATTTCTTTATTTATTTACTCCATTTGTATACCGCATTTATCAGCCTGGGACGGCGACTCAATGCGGTTTACAGTAAAATGTGCAACACTGACAATATATAAGACAGACATACACAAACAACACACATGTAGTCATCAACGCCTCGAATAGAATCAGATCCTGTTCTCACAGTCGTTTTACCGTTCCTTGTTCAGTATGCCGTCTTCCTGAGTTAGTTGTAATTGCATAATTATCTGAACGCCTGTTCATAGAGCCACGTCTTAACCCTCCTCCGAAACACCAGCAACGAAGGGGCCTGCCTGATGTCCGCTGGTAGGGCATTCCATAGCCGAGGGGCCACCACCGAGAAGGCCCTGTCTCTCGTCCCCGCCAGCCGCGCTTGTGATGCCGGCGGGACCGAGAGCAGGGCCTCCCCGGACGATCTTAACGTCCTCGCTGGTTCATAGGAGGAGATACGTTCGGACAGGTAAGTTGGGCCAGAACCGTTTAGGGCTTTATAGGCTAAGGCAGCACTTTGAATTGTGCCTGGTAGCAAACTGGCAGCCAGTGGAGCTGGTGCAACAGAGGAGTTGTATGCTCCCTGAGTGCCGCTCCCGTTAGCAACCTGGCTGCCGAGCGCTGGACCATCTGAAGCTTCCGGGCAGTCTTCAAGGGCAACCCCACGTAGGAGCGCGTTGCAGTAATCTATGTGGGATGTGACGAGAGCGTGGACTACCGTGGCCAAGTCCGACTTCCCAAGGTACGGGCGCAGCTGGCGCACGAGCCAAAGCTGTGCAAATGCTCCTCTGGGAACCGCTGAAACTTGGGGTTCCAAGCTTAGCGAAGAATCCAGAGTCACACCCAAGCTGCGAACCTGTGTCTTCAGGGGGAGTGCGACCCCGTCCAACACAGGCTGTAACCCTATACCCTGTTCGGCCTTCCGACTGACCAGGAGTACCTCTGTCTTGTCTGGATTGAGTTTCAATTTGTTCACCCTCATCCAGTCCGACACAGCGGCCAAGCACCGGTTCAGGACCTGGACAGCCACCTTAGAAGTGGGTGGAAAGGAGTGACAGAGTTGGACGTCATCTGCGTACAGATAACATCGCACCCCGAAACTCCGGATGAAATTCGTAAATACAGTAATTACTACATAATGTTACCATGTATTGAACTGCTTTTTCTGTCGATTTGTTGTAAAACATGATGTTTTGGTGCTTAATTTGTAAAATCACAATATAATTTGATGTTTAATAGGCTTTTCCTTAATCCCTCCTTATTCGCCAACATTTTTACTTATCCAACGTTCTGCTGGCCCGTTTACGTGGGATAAGTGAGACTCTACTGTAATATGAAATAGAGAGTAACTTTTTCTCTATTTTTTCTACACCATGAGTTTTTCCCCCATTAAATATATATCTTGTCTTTCTGCCAAAAGAAGGCACTCAATGTGACTTTCATAATTTTGTATGCCTCAGCTACATCCACTGTATGACTCTATTTTCCGAAACTTAAAAAGGCTCTATTTCTTTCCTTTCATCAGAAGTTTACTGTCATAATCACTTTAATTGTTTTTCTCAATACCTTATTTATCTATTTATTTACAGTATTTATATACTGCTTTTCTCACCCCTGGGGGAACTCAAAGCGGTTTACAAAAAATAATAAAATTCAGTGCCTTACATACATAAACCAAATCATAAATCGAATGCATATGACTAAGTATAAAATACAATAGGACAAATTCACCATAAGATAATACGACATTTAAACATGATTCTGTGATATGCTTTTTGAGATGTTCCCAGCAAGACTGTATGCAGTATTCTATATGTAGTCATATTAACAATAGTAGTAGAAGACTGAAGTTGTTACTTTTGTACACATGCCTGAACTCCTTCTAGTGTGCAGTTATACAACGGTTGTATTTAATTCACTGTTAGACATGTGTTTTGCAAGAATAACAGTTGCTCATACTTGGTTGGTATGTAACAGTGTGTCCTCACCTTCTATTTACTAGTAGATTCATTGGGGTTATGGAATAGCCAGAATCATAGCTTAGTTGCCATTGAATGCACATTCTATATTCTGTAATGGGATAGTAAGTAAGCACATTATCCAATAGATATTTGGTGGTACAATGCTGTATTCACAATAAGAGTGGCTTAATTATATGGCCAAGATCTTACACTGCATTTGCATGGCATAAATGTATGCTCACAAAGAATTGTGGTATTTTTATTTATTTATTTATTTATTTGCTTTTCCTCTGTCTGGCACAAGCCTCAGGGCGGATCTTTTAGTGTTCCTTTCTTAAATATTCCCACAATGGAATTGCATTTCTGGATGCTGAATTTAATTGCTGAGCCATCCACTGTGATGTTCAAGTATTTTTAATGCGTTGCTGTGCCATAAACTTCACTGTATGTACTCACATTTCTCAGTTGGCTACTAATGTTTCAGGTCACAACAGTATATATGTGGTTAGATTTTTTTTTGTAGAAAAATGCACAATTTATCCATTAAAATTAAAATTCTATTTTGGTGTCTGTGCATCCAGTTTAGAGAGAATATTTAAAATAACCACCACTGAAAATCTGTGAAAATATTACAGAAACATATTTACATTAAAATATTGCAACTTGATCATAGATGAGAAAATGTGTATGTAGAAGATATTGGAGATACTTTGCAGGCCAGTTTTCATTCATATTTGTTAGTTTGCCGTGATATGAAAAAAGAGAATGTGTGCATTTAACTAGAAAATAAGAAACGATGCAACAAAACAAGGGTGCAGGCTGATGTTGCTTTTTGTTTGTTTGTTGTGGGAGATCTTTATGCCAAATTAACATTAACTAGAAACAGTGTTTGAAGTGTATGATTGTTCCTGAAGGCAGAACGAACCATGTGAAACAATCCAGCAAGTATTTGGATTGTACTAAAAGCAAACAATAAATATGTTTTGAAGAATCTTAATACAATGTGTCGAAAAATAAAGCCTTCGTAACAAGTTACCATAATGCCATTGCAAAACTGTGGAGCTGACTGAGTCTTTCATATGTCACTGTTATATTTTTTTCGTGACATAACCAGAAACATCTGCTGATACATCAGTTATTCTGTTATGTATGCGTAATTAAGTAACCTCTTATAGCCTGGCCTTCCAAACTCACCATAACAGACAACAGCCAGATTCACTGTAGGAGTTCAATTCAGGTGTTGATTCAACTACAAGGAAGATGATGTTTCCAACCTTCTCTGATCAGCAGATGAGGCTCACAGGGGTCCTTCTGATTATTGCACCCTCACTCCTTGGTGGAAGAGGATAGAAAATGTCATCCTCCTTTCACCTGATTAGCAGTTGAATAGAGTTTCTTCTCCCAAGCTAACTGCTAGGTGTTAAAATGAGCTCGGGGTGGGGTTGGGAGATTTACATAGCCTTGCAGTAATGCTATGTAATCTTACTGAATATGGAGCACTTACATATCCATAACTCTAGGTTACAAATGCATAATTTCAATACAGAATTCCAGCCAATATGTTAAAAAGGAATGTAATGACAGTCTGAGGTGAGGGTGACTGAATAAACTCTTTGGGGACAGATATATTTACACAGCTTTTAGGTTCTATGCTAAATGCAACTTAATTAAGACCTGTGAGTTTAATAAACCAGCTTAGCTTGCTAAGGGAAAGTACTGTGACCTCTTTATTTCAAAAACATTAGAAGGTTTTTCATAAAAAGGACTTGTCCTTGAGTCTGAATTTGTTGTTAGCTTTGGAGCAACATGTTTGATTCTATTGATAGGGATGTCAGTTGTACATTAGCAATCTGAGAGATCACAAGATGCTATGTAGAAAAATCAATGAACAGCAACCTAGTTCTCATATGCAGCTACTGTTACATCTTAAAAGTTCTTCTCTAGATCTTAGAACTTTATTGCATGAGGGAAACAAAACTGGCATTGAAGCCTATTTCACAACGTAATGAATATCCCACTGCCAGCCTGCCTGCTCCTCACAAGCTCTGCTTGGTTGGGCCAGAGGTTTATCAACATTCTGCTCCCACAAAAGCCAATTAGATGCTTTTGAAAAGCTTGTAGTAGAATATAAGGCACGTTATATATCACTCTAAAGAGCAACTAACAATAAAATGAGGCAACATTAATGTTAATCTTTAATCTTATTTGTATTTTTAGAATTACAACAAATATAATATAAACCAGCTGAAGAGTCAAATAACAGTCACTTTGCACTGAAAGCTAGCAAGAAGCATATGTGTTTCAAACAAATGCTTAAATTTGTGTGGGGATCTATTCATTCTCTCCAAGAAGGGGGTTCTATAACTTACGAGCCACCCTGGTGTCTCGGGAACTTGGAAAAGGTCTTCACATTCACTTGAATTTTTGCCAGGTTGGTATCAATGATAGGGTGGATGTAAAAAAAGGCAACTGACTATTATTTTAAGAACTCTGTTTTCCTCTTTCAGGTAATACATTGACTTTTTCTGAATGCTGTATCTGAGGATTTATTTCAAATGAACATCCCTGTTACTCTTAAATTGCCTGAGATGGCAAGTCCAGCCATCAGCCCTGATTCTTCTTCCCATGAAGGACTCTCTTCTGTCCACTCTATACCTGCATGCTCTCCTACTTCAGATTCTGAGAACCTGAGCCCAGATGAATTGGAACTATTAGCAAAGCTAGAAGAACAAAACAGGTGAGAAGTTATCATCTTCCGCTATTGCTGTGTTGCAATTTGAAATCAAAGAGTAATGGTGTTTCTGAATCTGCCTTAATGGTATTTAGCTACATCAATTGCATGTCAGAACTAAAAAGATAGTCCAGATTTTGACATACTTTACCAATTCTTTTAAATAATACTATCATATAGTTGGGAGGTTATCTAGTCCATGTTTTTATGAGATTTCCAGTCATGGTTATTTAGGCAACGTTAAATACACCAAATCCTGTGTATTCTTAGAAGCTTAGAAGGGTTAGCCCTGGTTAATGGCAGAGCTTTTTCTCAAAGGGGCACAAATTGCATAATTGTTTCATTTTTAAAGTCGAGAACAGGCGGGAAAACATCACATTACAGAACTGGCCATTTTGCCCATCTCTATGTGGATAATTTACAAGAAAGTCATTTGCCAACCAGCTTAGCAATTATCAGAAAAGATAACCCTTTATAACACTTAAGAAACTCCAAGATATCTCTATCCTACATTTGAAGCCTATATCATGTGATGAACACCGTAGATTGCCATTTCTTAAGTGGGTGGCTCAGTAGAATTTAATGAATGTGATGAAGTGGTGAGTTTCTTCTGCCTGATTTTCCTAATGACCATGAGGTGGCATTGTAACATCAAACTATTATTACAGTAAAAAAAAGTAACATAAGCACCAAAGCTTGAGTAGAATAAGCAATGATTTCTTGATCTCTTGGTACTTGGCTGTTTCTTTGAAGTGTTTGTAACTGCTATTTTCTTGGTTCCATAACGGTTTGATTTACCTTACCGCTTTTATCATGACTAATGATCAGACATGAGAAGTAAGTGAAATGCCAAGAATATTTTGTTGATGAGCAAGCAGAGCTTCTATTATAATGTGAGGAATGAAATTCTGCTGAACTGTGCATACTGAACAAGTTTTTCTTATTTTTATAGAAAAATATACTGCCCATGTATAAATGCACACAAGTAAACAATTCATAGAATCATAGAGTTGGAAGAGACCTCATGGGCCATCCAGTCCAACCCCCTGCCAAGAAGCAGGAATATTGCATTCAAAAAGCACCCCTGACAGATGGCCATCCAGCCTCTGTTTAAAAGCCTCCCAAGAAGGAGCCTCCACCACACTCCAGGCAGAGAGTTCCACTGCTGAATGGCTCTCACAGTCAGGAAGTTCTTCCTCATGTTCAGATGGAATCTCCTTTCTTGTAGTTTGAAGCCATTTTCCGTGTTCTAGTCTCCAGGGAAGCAGAAAACAAGCTTGCTCCCTCCTCCCTGTGGCTTCCTCTCACATATTTATACATGGCTATCATGTCTCCTCTCAGCCTTCTCTTCTTCAAGCTAAACATGCCCAGCTCTTTAAGCCGTTCTTCATAGGGCTTGTTCTCCAGACCCTTGATCATTTTAGTCGCCCTCCTCTGGACACCAGCTTGTCAATATCTCTCTTCAATTGTGGTGCCCAGAATTGGCCACAATATTCCAGGTGTGGTCTAACCAAGGCAGAATAGAGGGGTAGCATTACTTCCCTAGATCTAGACATTATGCTCCTATTGATGTAGGCCAAAATCCCATTGGCTTTTTTTGCCGCCACATGACATTGTTGGCTCATGTTTAACTTGCTGTCCACGAGGACTCCAAGATCTTTTTCACACGTACTGCTCTCGAGCCAGGCGTCCCCCATTCTGTATTTTGTGTGAAATGTTTTAAAGGGTGTGGGAAAGTAACAAGTTGGTATGTAGAGTTGTTTACAAGAAGATTCACTTGAAAATGAACATTTGTTTTATATAAAAAAAAAACCCAGAAGATTTGAATTTAGTTCTTTGATCCTGTGGTTAAACACAGGTACTACCCTTACTTTGAAGAAAGAATTTACATTTAAGAGTAGAAGTGAGTTCACAATGTCATTCAGATATGTGGTGTATTGGTGTCCTAGACTCTTTCTATATAAAATGATTGCTTAACTTGAGGAGTGTTTTGTATCTTTTCTTCTTACCCTAAGGTCACATAATGGTTTTATATCAATTATTTGCATTTTGTAAACACAAGCAAGTTTTTCAATGTTTTATATGCATTGTGGAGCCCCCGGTGGTACAGTGGGTTAAACCCCTGTGCCGGCAGGACTGAAGACTGACAGGTTGCAGGTTCGAATCCAGGGAGAGGTGGATGAGCTCCCTCTATCAGCTCCAGCTCCTCATGCGGGGACATGAGAGAAGCCTCCCACAAGGATGATAAAACATCAAATCATCCGGGCGTCCCCTGGGCAATGTCCTTGCAGACGGCCAATTCTCTCACAACAGAAGCGACTTGCAGTTTCTCAAGTCACTCCTGACACGACCAAATAATGCATTGTAATGACTTGTGAATCCCTCCATCCCACTTCTACTTCTGAAGGATGTTTTAAAAATATTACTTACTAGCTCTACCCTGCCACGCGTTGCTGTGGCCTATAGTAAGAATTTTCGAAGTAGAGGTAGACATCTGGACTATTATGAAAGAATACCTACCTATTCCTCCCCCCCTTTTTTTTCCCCTTTCTCGCCTTTCTTCCTTCCTTCTCTACCTCTTTCTTTCGTTCCTTCCTTTGCTTTTTGGTTTCATCCTTCCTTCTCTCTTTCCTTCCTTCCCTCCCCCTTTCTCTACTTCTTCCTTTGTCTCCTTTGTTCCCTCCCTGTTTCCTTCCTTCTTTCACTTTTTATTTCCTTTTCTCCTTCCTTCCTTCCTTCTTTACCTCTTTCCTGCCTTTCCTTCCCTTTTTCTTTCCTTAGTACTTTCTCTTCTTCCTTCCTTCAGTGCCTCTTTCTTTTCTTCCTTCCTTCTCTCCTTCCTTCCCTCTTTCCTTCTTTCCCTCCCTCCTTCTCTCTTTCCTTCCTGTCTGTTCTCCCCCAATATCATGGTAAAGTCCCTTCTAAGTCTAATCTATGAGTCTATTTAATATAGTAATATATAGTAAATAACATCTCTGTTCTCCAGCAAAGGATCACCGCCTTGTCGGGGCGCTGGAGCTTGAGCACCTCAATGATGTCATGAGCGAAACCGTGAAGGGACACCCAAGACGGGACGGTTGTGGCAGAGAGGTCAGACCAAGCGTGATCCCTGGGGAAGGCAATGGCAAACCATTCCAGTATCCTTGCCAAGAAAACTAAATGGACCAGTACAACCAGAGATATGTCGGTATGCCATTGGAAGATGGGACTCCCAGGTCGGAAGATGGCCAAAATGCTACTTGGGAGGAGCAGAGGATAAGTTCAACTAGCCCCAGATGTGATGACGCAGCTAGCTCAAAGCCGAAAGGAAGGCTAGCGGCCGACGGTACTGGAGGTGAACGACGAATCCGATGCTCTAAAGATCAACACACCATAGGAACCTGGAATGTAAGATCGATGAGCCAGGGCAAATTGGATGTTGTTATTGGTGAGATGTCAAGACTAAAGATAGACATTCTGGGGGTCAGCGAACTGAAATGGACTGGAATGGGCCACTTCACATCAGATGACCACCAGATCTACTACTGCGGACAAGAGGAACATCGAAGAAATGGAGTAGCCTTCATAATTAATGAGAAATTCGCTAAAGCGGTGCTTGGATACAACCCAAAAAATGACAGAATGATCTCAATTCGAGTGCAAGGAAAGCCTTTCAACATTACAGTGATCCAAATATACGCCCCAACCACAGCTGCTGAAGAAGCAGAAGTAGATCAGTTCTATGAGGATCTGCAGGACCTACTGGATAATACACCAAAAAGAGACATCATTTTCATTACAGGAGACTGGAATGCCAAGGTGGGAAGTCAAATGACAACTGGGATCACAGGCAAGCATGGTCTGGGAGAACAAAATGAAGCGGGACGCAGGCTGATAGAATTTTGCCAGGAAAACTCGCTGTGTATAACGAATACTCTCTTCCAACAACCTAAAAGACGGCTTTACACATGGACCTCACCAGACGGTCAACACCGAAATCAGATTGACTACATCCTTTGCAGCCAAAGGTGGCGGACATCCATCCAGTCGGTGAAAACAAGACCTGGGGCTGACTGTAGCTCAGATCACGAACTTCTTATTGCCCAATTTAGAATAAAACTAAAGAGATCAGGGAAAATACACAGACCAGTTAGATATGACCTCACTAACATTCCTAGCGAATATACAGTGGAAGTGAAGAACAGATTTGAAGGACTAGATTTAGTAAACAGAGTCCCAGAAGAACTATGGACAGAAGTCCGAGACATTGTTCAGGAGGCGGCAACAAAGTACGTCCCAAAGAAAAAGAAAACCAAGAAGGCAAAATGGTTGTCTGCTGAGACACTGGAAGTAGTCCAAGAAAGGAGGAAAGCAAAAGGAAACAGGGATAAGGGGAGATATGCCCAGTTAAATGCGCAATGCCAGAGGTTAGCCAGAAGAGATAAGGAACTATTTTTAAATAAGCAATGCATGGAAGTGGAAGAAGACAACAGAATAGGAAGGACAAGAGACCTCTTCCAGAAAATTAGAAACATTGGAGGTAAATTTCAGGCAAAAATTGATAAGAAACAAAGCTGGCCGGGACCTAACAGAAGCTGAAGAGATCAAGAGAAGGTGGGAAGACTATACAGAAGATCTGTATAGGAAGGATAATAATATCGAGGATAGTTTTGACAGTGTGGTGAATGAATTAGAACCAGACATCCTGAGGAGTGAGGTTGAATGGGCCTTAAGAAGCATTGCTAACAACAAGGCAGCAGGAGATGACGGGATCCCAGCTGAACTGTTTAAAATCTTAAAAGATGATGCTGTCAAGGTGATGCATGGCATTTGCCAGCAAATATGGAAAACACAAGAATGGCCATCAGACTGGAAAAAATCAACTTATATCCCCATACCAAAAAAGGGAAATGCAAAAGACTGCTCCAACTTCCGTACAGTGGCCCTTATTTCTCATGCCAGTAAGGTAATGCTCAAAATCCTGCAAGGAAGACTCCAGCAATAAATGGAGAGAGAGTTGCCAGATGTTCAAGCTGGGTTTAGAAAAGGCAGAGGAACGAGAGACCAGATTGCCAATATCCGCTGGATAATGGAGAAAGGCAGGGAGTTTCAGAAAAACATCTATTTCTGTTTTATTGACTATTCTAAAGCCTTTGACTGTGTGGATCATAATAAATTGTGGCAAGTTCTTGGTGGGATGGGCATCCCAAGCCACCTTGTCTCTCTCCTGAGGAATCTGTACAAGGACCAAGTAGCAACAGTCAGAACTGACCATGGAACAACAGACTGGTTCAAGATTGGGAAAGGCGTACGGCAAGGCTGCATCCTCTCACCCAACCTTTTTAACTTGTATGCAGAACACATCATGCGATGTGCGGGGCTGGATGAATGCAAAGCTGGGGTGAAAATTGCTGGAAGAAACATTAACAACCTCAGATATGCAGATGACACCACTCTGATGGCCGAAAGCAAGGAGGAGCTGAGGATCCTTCTAATCAAGGTGAAAGAAGAAAGCGCAAAAGCTATGTTGCAGCTAAACATAAAAAAAAGCCAAGATTATGGCAACAAGAATGATTGACAACTGGAAAATAGAGGGAGAGAATGTGGAGGCCGTGACAGACTTTGTATTTCTAGGTGCAAAGATTACTGCAGATGCAGACTGTAGCCAGGAAATCAGAAGACGCTTACTTCTTGGGAGGAGAGCAATGTCCAATCTCGATAAAATAGTAAAGAGTAGAGACATCAGACTGGCAACAAAGATCCGCCTAGTCAAAGCCATGGTATTCCCTGTAGTAACCTACGGATGTGAGAGCTGGACCTTAGGGAAGGCTGAGCGAAGGAAGATCTATGCTTTTGAGCTGTGGTGTTGGAGGAAAGTTCTGAGAGTGCCTTGTACTGCGAGAAGATCCAACCAGTCCATCCTCCAGGAAATAAAGCCCGACTGCTCACTGGAGGGAAGGATATAGAGGCAAAGATGAAGTACTTTGGCCACATCATGAGAAGACAGGAAAGCATAGAGAAGACAATGATGCTGGGGAAAGGAAGGAAAAGGAAGAGGGGCCGACCAAGGGCAAGATGGATGGATGGCATCCTTGAAGTGACTGGACTGACCTTGAAGGAACTGGGGGTGGTAACGGCCGACAGGGTGCTCTGGCGTGGGCTGGTCCATGAGGTCACGAAGAGTCGGAGACGACTGAACGAATGAACAACAACAAAATTATATTATATATTAGTATATATAACAATAATATATATAATATATATTATATAGCAATATATATAATAGTAATATATAAAGTATTATAATTCTCTCTCTCTCTCTCTCTCTCTCTCTCTCTCTCTCTCTATATATATATATATCACACCAACCAGTGATCCAACATCCATCCATCCATGTGTGTGTGTGTGGGTGTCTACACTGCCATATAATCCAGTCCTAAGTAGATAAACTGGATGTTACATGGTAGTGTGGGAGGTTTTACTTTGGGTGCATCTACTCTGTAGATTTAATAAAGGAGGATGAAGCTGGTAAGGGGAGAAGAAAAAGGAAGGAAAGAAAGGGAGGAAGGGAAGGGAATGGAGGGAAGGAGAAGGAAGGGAAGTAGAGAAAGGGAGGGAGGGAAGGAGGGGGTTGGACCGGATGGCCTTTAGGGTTCCCTTTCAACTGGTTGGCCATCTGTTGCGAGGGCTTTGATGGTGTCTTCCTTTACTGCCAAATGAGGTTGGGCTGGATGGTCTTTGGAGCTCCTTTCCAAGCAATGTCGGTTTCCTGTGTCCCTATTACCCCCATCATGGCACCTTCCTCCTTCCCTTGTGCTGTTGGGGTGTGTGTGTGGGAGACAGAGAGTCAGAGTGTGTACATAGAGTGTGGCCCGCCTCCCTCTTTTTTCCTTCCTCCCCTCTCTCTCTCCTCTCCCTCCTCAGCCTCTGCCCTTTGATCCCTTGCCTTAGTGTTAGTTAGGGGCTGAGAGACAGGTAGGGAGCAGCAACCATTGCCGCTGCTGCTTCGGAACCCTCATTCTGTGTCCTCAGCGTGAGGGGGGCAGGGGAGGTGTGTTGTCTTCTTCCTTTTTTGAATTTAAAGGTGTTTTTGTGGATTTTTTTCAGTGATGGTCACTCCTTGGATTGTGAGGAGTTTTGTTGCCAAATTTGGGGTCATTTTGCCATGTAGTTTTTGTTTTTAAGGTACTCATTATGCACAGAGCATTATATATATATAAATGGAGATGCAAAAAAAAATAATAAAGAAAAACTCTTTTCCCCCCTGAATTCTAAAGGCTTTTCAAGATATAAAATATAAAGTCTGTTATACTTATTTGTAGAATTATGAAGAAAATGTGTTCTTCACTTTACTTCTTAAGGTGATTTCTGAGCATACCTAATATTAGAAAGATATCTTTCAAATATGTCGCGTCATGGAATAGACATGTGAGAGGGTGTTTCTATCTAGGAAAGCCTTCAGTTTTTAGACATCCATGACAATGGCTAAAATAAAGGTTCTGAAGAAACATGAAGTATTGGTATTAATAGCTGAGGAAAAGGTGCTTAGTTAGATTTTATTTTGTGTCAAAAACATTGCATAATAAATAAGTTTAAAACTAATAAAATAAAAGGTTCACAAGCAGCTAAATAGTTTTAGATCAAAAACGGACAACAGCGACTGCATTGTCTATAGCTTTAAACAGTTCTTCCTCTGTGTATGAGGCAGGGAATTGTGGGCAAGCATACAGATGCTGAGTTGTTTAATTAGATAAGGCTTCATGTAACAGAATTAGCATTTTATGAATCTTGGCAATTCCCTTTTTAATCATCACATTTTCTGAATATGTGTGCTTCCTCTTTCTGTTTGACATATGGAGAAGATGATCTTCAGCATCTACAGTAAACTACCTTTGTGTTACTATCATATTGATCTCTTCTTTTTGCCAGTTTGTCACAAAGACTTATTAGAGTTCAGCATTTGCTACCAAAATTAAAGAGAAATTAAAGTGGTAAATCTGTATTTTGATCTAGCCAAACTTTACTTCCCACCCTAATATACACATTAATATGCAAACCAATGTATATGTAATGTTTCCCCCTGTTATTTCGAATTTTCTCAAAAATGTATAATGCCAAATATAGCATATAGTTCATGTAAATCTGTATAAAATGCTGTGACAAATATGATGACAGCACTTACATTATTGTGCAAATCTAAAGTCTAAAGTTCAGTGTCATTATGGGCATGGTAGGGATGGTACTAATTGTGAATGACATTTTCCAGGCTTCTGGAAGCAGATTCCAAGTCACTGCGCTCCATGAATGGCTCAAGAAGGAACAGTGGGTCGTCTTTGGTATCCAGCTCTTCTGCCTCATCCAATTTGAGCCATCTTGAAGAAGATACATGGATATTGTGGGGGAGGATTGTCAATGAATGGGAAGAATGGAGGAAAAAGAAAGAAAAACTGCTCAGGGTGAGGGAAATGGCTGTCTCTAGTGATACTACAGTGACACAAACTTGTTCCCGTTTTCTACAAGCTTTTCTTGATTGGACTGCCAATCCTTTTCCCAGTTCTATGTCCATACATCAAAGCTGTAGCCTAGTGCATATAAAGGAAGACAAGAAGAAGAAAATGTATTTTAATCAATAATGAATATTGAATAGAAATATATTGTGATATAAAATGGAGCTGTAATCTCTGATGGTCTTACCTATAATTTGGAATTTCTCGTTCTTTATTTTATTTCAGGAGCTCATAAGGAAAGGAATTCCCCATCACTTCCGAGCCATTGTTTGGCAGCTTTTGTGCAGCGCCACTGACATGCCAGTGAAGAATCAGTATTCAGAGTTGCTGAAGATGTCTTCTCCATGTGAAAAGCTGATCAGGAGGGACATTGCCAGGACATACCCTGAGCATGAGTTCTTTAAGGGACAGGACAGTCTGGGCCAAGAAGTTCTCTTCAATGTCATGAAGGCAAGTAGGAGGCCCTGATAATAAACTTGCTTTGGAAAGTAGCATCTTCCATTTGTTCCTTTGTGTTTAAGTAGAGACCTATGTAAAGAATTTAACTTTTGTGGCTCAACCTGCACCTTGGAAGAAGTTATCCAGTGTAATGTATACATTTTAAACTTCATTTCTAGAAGCATTTAGTTAGTTAAACTAAGGCAAGTTCATTTCAGAAGAACATACTCTCTCACATCTGCCTTTAATTATAAGGGTTCCAGCATCTCATTTCTAAAAGTAAGGTAGTTCTTCATCCAGTTTCTCATATACTCAACTGGGCACTAATGTGTTTTCCCTTGATATTATTATGTCCATTGCCTTTGTTTTTTTCTGAAGTATTTTATCTCTGTCTCTTGGTATAAATGAGGTCATAAGTGACACGTTTTGTTTGCTTCTCAGCCACCTCATCTAGACATACTTCTTTCCCATTGCTGCTACTTGATGCACTGCAAGGAATCAAATTTATGTGTCCATCTTAAGTCTCACATTTTGGGTAAATAAATCAGTGCAATGCAGTTTGGCTCATTTTGATCAAATATTCTAATCTTTGCCTGATGGTTATATACCTCGAATTTTGGTTCAGGTCAGTAAAAGCACTTGGCAACTGTACTACTGAGCTCTAGGCATATTTATTTATATCTTCTTTTGCTTAAGTTTTCATCTCTTTCAGGCTTACTCCCTAGTCGACCGTGAAGTTGGGTACTGCCAGGGCAGTGCATTCATCGTGGGATTGCTTCTCATGCAGGTTGGTGTAGTATGAGAGTAGATCTTCATCTGTGTACAAGAGTTCATCATTACTCCTAAAATTTCAAGTCAATTTTCATAGAAATAATTGCCATAGATTAAATACCAATGACTCACAATCTAGTTGCTTGAATCATAGTGTGAATTTGTAACTTCATATGTTAGCCAAGTTTAATAAAGTAGGTGCTTTAGCTGAAGAAAACTTTAAAATTGTGACCTTGTTGGGACTTCTCATATTTCCAAAAAGCTTTATCTAGCAGTAGGATTAGAAAAACAACACACACTTTGAAAAACAGATATTTGAAGTCAGTATTTAGGAATTTGAAACTTTCAGAATATGGCAGAACGAACTCAACAAATTCAGGATAATGCAGAGATGCATTATTTTTCAGTACATTGTGAATTTGTCTATGTTTGAATTAAGAGTTAGATTTTTCAGAGTATCTGGTCAGTACCAATAACTTGGCATCAGTGTAAGACTAACAATATAGCTCTCTGGTTCTGCCACTTTTGATGGCAGTAATACTTCATGCTTTAGGTAACTGTTTTAACTGATAGTGATACTGATACCATGAACCTTCTAATTAGAGATGCCATGCAGTAAACCTAAGATCTTTTCATGTGAGGGATTGTGGCTAGATGAGACTTGTGTAAAGCTGCTTCATGTTTTGCTTTCAAAACATGATCATGCTGGTTTTGATCTGCAGTAAGCTTTGGAAAGACGTGTACATCTCTTGTCTGATTCTAGATGCCTGAAGAAGAGGCCTTCTGTGTGTTTGTACGGCTAATGCAAGAATACAGATTACGGGAACTCTTTAAACCCACTATGGCTGAATTGGGACTTTGCATCTACCAGTTTGAATACATGCTGCAGGTAAAAGACTGCATCTGCTGCATTGTCAAGAAGCATCTGTTGTACTGTCAAGAAGTGTGTTGCTTTAGGGACCAGTTAGGGCAGGCATGGGCAAACTTTGCCATCCAGGTGTTTTGGACTTCAACTCCCACAATTCCTTCCCCCTGGTAAGCTGGCTGGGATTTCTGGGAGTTGAAGTCCAAACATCCTGAGGACCAAAGTTTGCCCGTGCTCGAGTTAGGGATACAGCTGTGATGTTAGAGTCTTGCTGATCTCAAGAGTTGTGTTCTGTGTCTCTTCAGGAGCAACTGCCTGAACTGAATATCCATTTTCGTTCCCAAAGCTTCCTTACTTCCATGTATGCATCATCTTGGTTTCTTACTCTATTCCTTACCACCTTTCCACTACCTGTGGCCACTCGAGTGTTTGATATCTTCATGTATGAGGTAAAGTGTTTAATATTTTAAAAGGGAGTGGGCTATAGAATGGAGAAGAGCTGTTATATTACAAATTAAGAAAATATTGTACCAGTTCTTCAAATGGCACTGCCACATTGTATGTTATGACATGGGGGTTTTATAAGTATATTTATGGCTTTAAAATACATTTTAAAATAAATCTGAATGAAGCAAAGCACGCTTCCCTAGGGAACAAACTGGCCCACTGCTACTAGAAGTTGCAAATACAGAAGAAACTTTGATAAAGTGGATATTTCCCTCTCCCCCTTCCTGCTAGTCTAGCTCTGTGTAACAGAATGACTAATATACTTATTCAAATCGGTATGGGAAAATTTTGTTCTCCTGCAACTGAAATATAGAGACATGCCACCTCTGTGATCATAACTAATAGTTTAACTAGTGTTATTCTCCATTAATTTGTCTAATCCCCCTTTAAAGCCATCTAGATGGGTGTTATATAATGCTCCAGTCATCTTTGTTTCTGTAAAATAACTAAATTAAGTATGCTAACATTTCATGCCAGTTTCTACCTATGCAACTCATTCAGGATGGTTTAATTGTTTGATTTTGAGTTCTTGCTATGATTTGACTATAGATCAACCAGATACTCATTGAACTGTATGCACAGATAGGTAGATAACATTGTGGGGGAAGACAAACATCTTACTCTCCTGTTAAGTGTCTTCTAACATATGTCTATTTGGCATAGGAAGTAGCTATTTTGACAGTTTCTCTAAATCATCAGAAACTTCCTTTGGAGTGGAGTCCATAACTTCTGCTGATTTCTTGTAGGGACTGGAAATAATATTCCGTGTGGGGATGGCTCTTCTACAATTCAACCAAGCCGAACTGATGCAACTAGACATGGAAGGGATGTCACAGGTGAGTTCTACAATGCTTACTTAGTTAGGCGATCCTTTGTTGTCTGAGTAGGATTGTCTTCCAAGATTGGTGTACTGGCAGTGGGTCCATAGGTGACCGTGGAGCCCTATTCTTGATCTGCATGTTCTGAGACTGGAAGTAGATTTGCTAAATAATATTAGTTGTAAAGTTTCAGTTTATTTCAGATTTCCATACAGGGTTTAAGCTAAATGTTTTGAAACCTGAGGGAAAATTGAAATGGGGATTTCCTTAAGAGCACTTGACCCTTCAACATGTTTGGAATGCTGTCCCCTTAACTCAAACTGTTTTAATTTGTCTGTTGATGCCTAAGCGTCAGAGCCAGTACCACAGAAAACAAAACCAAAAGCCCAAATATCAGTTTCTCTTTGTTCTATGTTAGGTGTAATCAGTTATTTCCCCTATCACTTATTGGTTTCTAAAAGTAGCTTAATGAGGGGAGGGGGATAAAGTTCTTCAAATCTTCTTGCGGTTTTAAAAATAGAAAATTATTTTGTTCTGATACACTGCATGTTTATGTCATTCCCTCTGTACCAATATACTGATATGTGAGGCCCTCTGCGGAAGAGAGAGTGATACTATTTACATCAGCCGTCTTCAAACTACATCTGATCCATAGCACTTTTACCAACTGTTAAACCCTGAAACACTGGGTTTACATATTACGCAATTGCACGTCACTGTTCCTGCCTAGTGTTTTACTAAGTGGTATTAAGAACGGAATATAGCACTTTAAGCGCCTGCCTCTGCTGCTAAACCATACTTGTACTTGTGCCCCCTTCCCGATCCCTCCTGCCGCACTTTAGTTATTGGGGAGAGCCAGATTTAGGTATTCTGTCGCACTTTAAAACCGTTGCACTTTATGAATTGCCCTAGGGGCACGCAGCTGTGGAGTTTATTATTGTTGCACTTTAAGATTCTTGCACTTTATATACTATCTTGTTGCCGCAGCTGAATGTTTACTACTCCTTATTATTATCAATCTTACTGAAGTGTACTGTTATTACCCATGTGGTCCCCCACTCTCCTATTTATACTGTCCTTGATATTAGTGACTACTGGAAGGGGCAAGGGAGGAAGTGGGCTGGAGCCCGTGGACAACAATGAGGGGGGGAGGGGAGAGAAACAAGGTAGTTGGCAAGAAAAAACGCCAACAAACCAAGCATCTAACGGAACAAAGATTAAGACCTGGGTTGTGGATTGCGGCATGGAGGAGGGGAGGTGTTCCACTAGCCGAGGGGCCCCCATAGAGGTCGTGGTGGGAAGGAGGAGATGCGGAAAAAGGAGACCTCGAATTCGGCCTAATTCGGTCCACTTATCTACATTAACAATCCCAAATCGGTCTCCTAGGGTAAATTGGTGTAACCAGGTTGGCGGGCCCTCCGGATTGAAGGTGCTGCTACTGAACGCCAGATCTGTCAACGGTAAAACGACCTTTATCCAGGATTTAATCTTGGATGAGCGGGCAGATCTGGCGTGCATCACGGAGACCTGGTTGGATGAAGCTGGAGGAGTGAATCTGACCCAGCTCTGTCCTCCAGGCTTCTCCGTGCAGCACCAGTCGAGATCCGGAGGTCGGGGAGGCGGGTCGCAGTGGTCTATAGGGATTCCATCCATCTGGTCAGGTGCCCCATCCCGCAGACCACAAATTTTGAATGTGTCCACCTGAGGGTGGGTGACCGGGACAGAATAGGGATTCTGCTAGTGTACCGTCCACCTCGCTGCACTACAGTCTCCCTGCCTGAGCTAGCGGGGGTAGTCTCGAGCCTGGCGTTGGAGTCTTCACGGCTTCTTGTGCTGGGAGACTTCAATATCCACGCCGAGGCGACCCTCACTGGAGCGGCTCAGGACTTCATGTCGGCCATGGCAACCATGGGGCTGTCCCAACAAATATCTGGCCCCACCTACTGTGCTGGACATACATTGGACTTGGTTTTCTGTCAGGGATGGGAGCAGGGTGGCGGTGTAGAGGAGTTGTCCATCTCTCCGTTGCCATGGACTGACCACTTCCTGATCAGATTTAGGCTCACTGCACCCCCTAACCTCCGCAAAGGTGGAGGACCCATTAAGATGGTCCGCCCCAGGAGGCTTATGGATCCGAATGGATTCCTGACGGCTCTTGGGGATTTTCCCGCCACCTCGGTAGGTGACCATGTCGAAGCCTTGGTCGCTCTCTGGAATGGGGAGATGGCCAGGGCAATTGACATGATCGCTCCGGAACGTCCCCTCTCAAGTAGCCGAGCTAAACCAGCTCCTTGGTTTACTGAGGAGCTGGCAGTGATGAAGCGAAGGAAGAGGGAACTAGAGAGCGGGTGGCGTTCGGACCCGAGCGAGTCAAACCGAGCACGGTTTGTGTCCTTTTTAAGGGCATATGCCGCGGCAATAAAAGCCGCAAAGAAAACTTTCTTTGCGGCCACTATTGCGTCTGCAAGGAACCGTCCGGCGGAGTTGTTTCGGATTGTCAGAGGTCTATTAACTCCCGCCTCCTCAGGCGGGAGCCCTGACAATTCGGTCACGCGCTGTGAAGCATTTGCTCGGTTCTTCGCAGACAAAGTCGCCTTGATCCGCTCTGGACTGGACGCCGCGTTAAATGCAGTCTCTGAGGATGTGACAAGAGCACCTGCTTGTCCTATTTTGATGGATTCTTTTCAGTTTGTGAAACCCGAGGATGTGGACAAGATACTTGGAGGAATGAGGCCCACCACGTCCATCCTAGACCCCTGCCCATCCTGGCTTCTGAAGGAGGCCAGAGGGGGATTGGCTGAGTGGGTAATGGTGGTGGTTAATGCCTCCCTTCGGGAAGGCAAGATTCCAGCGTGCTTAAAACAAGCAATTATAAAACCGCTGTTGAAGAAACCATCACTGGACCCCACTAAATTTGACAACTTTCGGCCTGTTTCCAATCTCCCCTTTTTGGGCAAAGTCATGGAAAGCGTGGTGGCCTCACAACTCCAGGTATTCTTGAGAGACACGGATATTCTGGATCCGGCACAGTCTGGCTTCAGACCGGGACATGGTACCGAGACGGTCTTGGTCGCCTTAGTGGATGATCTGCGCCGGGAGCTAGACAGGGGGAGTGTGTCCCTGTTGGTGCTCCTGGACCTCTCAGCAGCCTTCGATACCGTCGACCACGGTATCCTTCTGGGGCGCCTTGCGGAAATGGGCCTTGGGGGCACTGCTCTGCAGTGGCTCCAGTCATTTCTGGAGGGTCGCACCCAGAAGGTGTTATTGGGGGACTCCTGTTCTACACCACAGCCTTTGACCTGTGGTGTCCCACAGGGTTCTATACTGTCCCCCATGCTGTTTAATATCTACATGAAGCCGCTGGGTGAGATCATCCGGAGTTTCGGGGTGCGGTGTCATCTGTACGCAGATGATGTCCAACTCTGTCACTCCTTTCCACCTGCTACTAAGGAGGCTGTCGAGGTCCTGAACCGGTGCCTGGCCGCTGTAATGGTCTGGATGGGGGCGAACAAACTGAAACTAAATCCAGACAAGACAGAGGTACTCCTGGTCAGTCGCAAGGCTGAGCTGGGTATAGGGTTACAGCCTGTGCTGGATGGGGTCGCACTCCCCTTGAAGGCGCAGGTTCGCAGCTTGGGTGTGATCCTGGATTCATCGTTGAGCCTGGATCCCCAGGTGTCAGCGGTGACCAGGGGAGCATTTGCACAGCTTAGGCTCGTGCGCCAGCTGCGCTCGTACCTCGGGAGGTCTGACTTGGCCACGGTGGTACACGCTCTGGTCACATCCCGCCTTGACTACTGCAACGCTCTCTACGTGGGGCTGCCCCTGAAGACGGCCCGGAAGCTTCAGCTAGTCCAGCGCGCGGCAGCCATGTTACTAACTGGAGCGGGTCGCAGGGAGCACACAACGCCCTTGCTGTACCAGCTCCATTGGCTGCCGACCTGCTACCGGGCCCAATTCAAGGTGCTGGTGTTAGCCTACAAAGCCCTAAATGGTTCCGGCCCAAAATACCTGTCAGACCGCATCTTGGCCTATGAGCCCACGAGGGCCTTAAGATCGTCCGGGGAGGCCCTTCTCTCGATCCCGCCTGCCTCACAGGCACGCCTGGTGGGGACGAGAGAGAGGGCCTTCTCGGTGGTGGCCCCCCGGCTGTGGAACACTCTCCCTGTAGACATCAGACAGGCGCCCTCCCTTATGTCTTTTCGGAAAGGCTTAAAGACATGGCTATTCGAGCAGGCATTTAATTAAATGCTACAATTAGTTTTGGCAAGACAACTGGAACGGAATTCGGATTATGAGCTTGGCTATGACTTTATTATGAGACGGAGCGGATCTTTTAGTGTAATTATATAACTGTTATATTGTGGATATGTTGTTTGTATTGCCTTTTGTAATTTGCCTTTTACATGTTGTACACCGCCGCGAGTCGCCCCAGGGCTGAGAGCGGCGGTCAACAAATGCACCAAATAAATAAATAAATAAATAATACTACACTAAAATAATATGTTTTATTAATTGTAATGTGCTTTGTTTTTTGCTTTCAGTAAAATTGAAATGCTTAGGCTATATAATGAAGAAAGTCCTAGGAGCATCATAATGTATTGTCATACTGTAATTACTAAAATATTTTTTGTACCTTTTTTCTACAATAGCATTAAAAAGAAATTTAGTGAAAGAATGTGCCTATTGTTATAAATGTTAGAAGTAGCATGAGGGAGGGTAGCTAGATGCAGGATGGATGGGTAGGCTTATGTACTTCAATTTGCATCCAGTTTAGCTAAGTAAGTGGTAGCTTACACTGCTGAACTCATACATTCCAAGCTTTTGGGGCTGCAGAGAAAATGCTCTAAACCAGGGGTCCCCAAACTAAGGTCCGTGGGCCAGATACAGCCCTCCAACATCATTTATCCGGCCATCACTCAGGGTCATCCTAAGTCTGAAATGACTTGAAAGCACACAACAACAACAACAACAACAACAATCCTATCTCATCAGCCAAAAGTAGGACCACACTTCCTATTGAAATACTCATAAATTTATATTTGTTAAAATTGTTCTTCATTTTAATTATTGTATTGTTTTAAAGTGTTTTTTTGCACTACAAATAAGATATGTGCAGTGTGCATAGGAATTCGTTCATATTTTTTTCAAATTATAATCCGGCCCTCCAACAGTTTGAGGGACTGTGACCTGGCCCTCTGTTTAAAAAGTTTGAGGACCCCTGCTCTAAACCCCTTTAGTGTCACAAAATTGTGTACCAGCATTCTTATGCTGGATCTCAGAGTTGTACAGCTGATGGTTCAACAGATGCCAAGGACTTGAACTTACCATTTCCACAGCAGCATATTAGTTACTTCTACCAAGTTCAAGGCAAGACAGAATGCTCCATTGTGCTTGCTGAACCATTCTCTGCACTGAGAATCACACCTATCCAATGGGTGAGAGAGTACACCTGATGGTGCAACAACTATTATGCTAGTGTAGTACTCAGGGAAGATTGTGACAATAATAGAAAAATGCTCCTCAACTGGGAGAAACAAATGCAAGTGAAAATGATGCCAAATTGTTTAGCCTCATGACTTTAAAGCAGGGTCAGACAACTAGTGTTATTATTAGTTTATTCATTTATATTCTTCCATTCCCCCTTTCCTAGTAATGGAACTCAAGGTGGCTTGTGTTATTCAAGTATGGTTGGAATGCAGCTCTCATTAGACCAAACTACAATATGATGCAGTATGGTGTGAGCTGCAATCCAGTGACAGCTAGAGAGCCATGAGTCAGTCATGCCTGCTTTAAAATATCAGAGGTTTTGAAAACTCTTCCACATTTCACTCTTGTGAATAGCCAGACATTAGACTTTCCCACCAATTAAGATTCAACATCATTTGAGTCCAGTTGCTGGCCATACTCATTACAAATCTTTAGAACAAGTCATTCTGATCATCTTTTGGGCTGAAGTATGGGGGGAGGGGAACATTTTAAATAATAAGTGGCCTAATATTTGCATTGTGAAGTGTGTGCCAATTTTTTTGTAACTCGTGAACTAAATTTAGCCTGCTTACACTGCAAGTAAGCCCAGATTTTCCATGATGGGCAATACTTTGGGCAAGCTTAATGTTTTGTTGGATGTCTTCCCTGACCCCAGAGCATCTCCCATGACTTTTCTTTCAGAACTTTAAACTGGTAGAGGGAGAACATTTTCTCCCGTGTTGCAGTTATATTACTGAATGGCAAGATAACTAGAAAGTTATGCAGTCACTTTATCTTGGCAAGTGAAGTACTAAGAATATGCACTTGCTGCTTGTGAGAGCTTTAAACAGTAGAATATAACAGCTGTTGGTTTTTTTGAATTGACTTTTGTAGCTATCAAGAGCTGTAACTACTTTTTGCAACAGGGATTTCATGTCTTCATTTTGTTCTTTCTAGTTGTACTGCCTGACACATCCACATATATAGACAAAACCTGTTCTGTTCTGAATTCAATGTGATTGTCAAAGTTGAGCAGTGCCTTACAAACTTAATTTCACACTGTTCTGTGTTCCATCATTTTCTATATATACATGTGCACATACACACACCTCCCAAGCGAGTAAGAATTACAGTTGCCAGAATGTTTTTACTAAGCTATAAAGAATGTGCTCTGTCATGGTTTTCCTGCCCTTTTTCATTCCTGAGACTGGCAGATCATAATGTTAGAACTTTCTAGAAGTAAAATTTAAGTGATCAGGACTTGGGCATCTTGCCACAGATAGCATACTCAAAAATAGTTACTTTGCATTCTCCTTTATGCCTAGCTAGATAGGAAACAGCATATACAGTTGAACAGGGCATTAGAGCCATGTTTACCTTCAAATAATATATGTGAGATGTAGTCTGACTCTTGTGTTGTCTATCTTACAGTATTTCCAGAAGGTAATTCCTCATCAGTTTGACAGCTGTCCTGATAAACTCATCTTCAAGGCCTATCAGATCAAATACAATCCTAAGAAAATGAAACGGTAAGTTTTTAGCCCATCCTAATATTGAATGAGGAGCCCCCGGTGGGGCAGTGGGTTAAAGCACTGAGCTGCTGAGCTTGTTGATCGAAAGGTCACAGGTTCGATTCCGGGGAGCGGCGTGAGCTTCCGCTGTCAGCCCTAGCTTCTGCCAACCTAGCAGTTCGAAAACATGCTAATGTGAGTAGATCAATAGGTACCGCTCCGATGGGAAGGTAACGGCGCTCCATGCAGTCATGCCGGCCACATGACCTTGGAGGTGTCTACGGACAACGCTGGCTCTTCGGCTTAGAAATGGAGATGAGCACCACACCCCAGAGTCAGACATGACTGGACTTAATGTCAGGGGACTACCTTTACCTTTACCTAATATTGAATGTGGTTGAATAATACACAATAACTTAATTAGGAGAATAAAGAAACTACGTAAAGCTCAGCTGAAGGCTGTCCCAGAAAACATATATGTAAATAGTTTTGAACTTGTTAAGACACCAAAAAAGTACCTGGTGTTAACATTAATCTTTAACAGAAGAAATCCAAAAAGCTCTATATAAATGTAGGGAGGGGGTTAGTATTAGTTCAACAAAATAGTTATTTGAGCAATGGAAAACATTGTGGAATGTTCATGAATGTAGTTTAAATACCATCAAATATGAATTCCAACTTGTTCTAAAGTGAAAGATTTATTTTAAAATGCTCATAAATCTGGATCTTTGATACGGAACAACATGAGAGAGATTCTAGAACAAACGTAGAAATTGTAATAATAATAATAATAATAATAATAATAATAATAATAATAATAATAATAAATCTTTATTTATATTACGCTTTTCTCCCTAAAGATCCAAAGCTAGCTCACAACATAATACAATACAAATCAAAGAACATTTAACATGAAATACAATACAAAAATCACACAAAGCATAATAACATCCAGAAATAAGATATAAATAAATTAAGCATTCAAAACATTTAAAACCAATTACAATGATTGTGGAGACTCATTTATTAAGTAGTATATGTTGCATGAGCCAGCAAGAAAATTAAGAGAGGTCTCCACAAAAGATCGATCGATTAATCAGTCAATAAAAATAAAATAAATTCTGAAAACAAAACAAAAACAGAAGTCCCCACAAAAGCCCAGGAGGAACAGTTGAAAGTTGAGTGTTGGCAGAAAAACCAGCAGCCCCAATCCAAGCCCAGCTCCAATCCAATTCCCCAGTACTGTTGTCCTATAAGGTATCAGTGACTTGAAGTAATTTCGGGCTATGGCTAACTAGCAGCAAGGTATAGCTTCATGAGATCTTCAGTCTTCCTTAATGTGAAATCCTTTTCCCCTCAACAAAAATGGTGTTGCAGTTTTTAACTGGATTTCATGGCAATTAAGCTCCTTTTTGCACCTTTCCATCAATCTTGGGCAAATCTTCCTTGTCAGTCAAAAATTTGTGTCATTCCTTGGAAGATGGACCAAGAAAAAGTGCTGCTGCTACTATCTAAAGAAAGCACAACCATCTCAGTAACCCACCCTCTTGTGTCATAACATGTTGCTGCTGCCACTACTAATAACCAGTTCTACTATGGAGGGAAACAGACTCCTTATTGAGTAGCCAATTCTCAGTTCTGAGAGCTAGGCTGTCAGGGAGGCTGGAGCTAATAGGGAAATAATCTGTGGCATGGCACAGATAATTTGCCTGGACAGTGCTGCTCACCCACAGGCCTTGCTCTGAAGATCCAGAGCAGGCTGCCAGGAAGCAGCTAATTCCTCAGAACATTTATTCATGGTAGTGACAGTGACATCAGTTTATGAAGACTTTACCTACTGCAATTCTAGAATAATATGCGGCAGAGGCTAAAATTGAATGTCTTTGGGCCCAGATGCTACTTGTTGAAAGAAGTTAACTTTCTTCAGATAACCTAATTGAGGATTTTGTTTAAACTTCGCAAACTAGCATGTGCTGAGTAGCTATCTAAAGCGCCTAATAGTTTCCAATGACATCAAGTTCACTATCACAATTATTATTTAAAACTTTTATATCCCGATCTTCTCACCACCGTAGAGGGACTCAGACCAGCTTACAGCAAGGATTCAATGCTACTAATACAAGTTAAAACATCATACAACAATACAAGATTAAAATACAAATAGATAAAATACATATATTACAAATCGCCAAGGTAAAATCATGTTCAACTCAGTCCGCATATGTGGTCACTCACTTTGGTCTGTAATCAGTCTCAGCCATTATTCTGGGAATGCTTCATTCAATAACCAGGATTTCACTAGCCTCCTGAAGGACAAGAGGGAGGGGGCAGATCTAATCTCGTTTGGGAGAGAGTTCCATAGCCAAGGGGCCACCACAGAGAAGGCCCTGTCTCTCATTCCCACCAAACGCGCTTGTGAAGGTGGTGGGACTGAGAGCAGGGCCTCTCCAGAAGATCTTAATGTCCTTGATGATTCATACGGGAGAATACGTTCGGACAGGTAAACTGGGCCAGAACCGTATAGGGATTTATAGGTTAAAACCAGCACTTTGAATTGTGCTCGGAAGCTAATTGGCAGCCAGTGGAGCTGGTGCAGCAAGGGAGTTGTGCGCTCCCTGTACCCAGCTCCTGTCAGTGGCCTGGCTGCTGGGCGCTGGACTAATTGCAGCTTCCGGGCAGTCTTCAGAGGCAACCCCATGTAGAGAGCGTTGCAGTAATCTATATGGTATGTAACCAGAGCGTGGACCACCGTGGCCACAATGAAGATAGATTACACAGCTGGAAAAAAATAAATTCTTAGTGTCTTGATTTTTAGGCCTGTTCCTGGAATTAATGGTGTGCTGATTCAGGAAATTGCATTGGCTAGACCTCATAAGCTCTAGTTTCTTAGATGTGGATATCATAACTTTCTGGGTGAGCAGATGAAGACTGGTATATGGCATATGTTCTGTATCTCAAAGACTAGAGCTGATAGGGGAAAACTGGTGCCATTTTTGGGATCAGCAGGACAAATATACCAGAAACAGGTCTAATGTTTGAGGCACCAAATGTGTGTTGGCCAGTGTTATATTACATGGCATGCAGTGTGGTTAGGGAATTGTTGGAGTGAACCTTGGCACTTCTAAACTGAAACTACATGCAGTTGTGGAAAACCAGCGATTAAGCAATTTTTTGGCGTGTCAGGAGCAACTTGAGAATGTGGCTTAAGGAAGAAAAAAGGGCTGCTAACAAAGAGAGTTGAGCCTTCATTTCGCCGTTTGCTTTCCTGCTTGTTTCAGTACTAGAAATGATGCTGAGTGGGGTAAACTGCTTAGACTAGAGCTGGGGAGCTGTGCTAGGGGAAAGAGAGTTTGTTCTTGTGGTAGCCCCACTTCCCTCATTTCTCTCATGTCATTGGATTCCTAGCCATAGTGCCAGGTTGAGTTTCTCCACATGGCACTTAGGTGAGAGACCTGTTTTGCGCATCAAGTGTCAAGAGAAAGAGCATGTCACTCTCAACTAGCTGCTAAATTCTGTTGCTATGGCCTGGCTGGCACCTTGTGAGTGCTGGGTGAGAATGTGGAAGGAACGCTTTACTATTATCTCCAGCTAGTGACTTCTCACCTAACTAACTCAGAGGCATTTTGTGTAAGCTATGTGCTAGATAGGGAACCTCTGCACTCTAATAGGGCTACAATTCTGGCTACAATTCCAGTAGTTCCTTACTGTTGATCATGCTGGGTGAGGCAGATGATAACTGAACAATATCCCTGCCCTTTCTCAGAAGAAAAAGTTGCACCAGAGGATTTCAAGTTCCCTAATCCGTATGTTCAATCTAACCTGCCTCATTCTATGTGATTGCAGCAGATGTGAGTTTAAAAACACAAATCTGCTCCATTACATCAAGTTTGGCAATCAGGGTACTCTAAGAATTTAGTCATTATGTAAGGAGAAACACAGTGAACTGCATTCTGCCTATATTACAGACTGGAGAAAGAGTACACTGCAATCAAGAACAGAGAGATGGAAGAGCAGATTGAAATCAAGGTCAGCCCTCTTTCATATGGTCTTGCTCTTGTGCTATGCACATCTCAACAGTTCATAGAATTAAATTATGGGAGTTTGCTGTGCTTTGTTTCTTAAGTTAGTATAGCCTCATACTTGGAAAGTCTTCAAAATGCTGTTCATTAAATGATAGTCTGTACCTGGTGCCTTTACTTGTTCTGCACTGATTGATGCTTTCTCCCATCATCCTTCTATAGCTTTGTCACAAACTTCTGTTGTGTTGGTTCTTTCTGTCTATAGGGAGAAGTGTATTCTATTTAAATACGAAATGACAGTGCCATTTATTTTTTAAGTACTCATACTTCAGGTATAGATCAATTAACCACTTCTATTAGTAAAAAAAGGCATAGATCAATTAACCACTTCTATTAGTAGAATGCAGTGTATGATAGAAATTTAAGGGATCCCCACCTACTGAACAGTAGGTCTAATTATTTGCTTGTGTGAGTGTGGTGAAATCTTTCCTTTCCTGGTTATTCAAGCAGCTTCTTGAGCAGATGGCTTTAGTTTGATATTCAGGATTTCAGCATAATTTTGTATGCTGGCAACAACTTAACAAAAGCTCATGCTTACACATTAGAACACGTGCTGATTTTGATCTTGCTTACAGAGGCTTCGTACTGAAAACCGCCTTCTGAAACAGAGAATTGAAACCCTGGAGAAGGTGAGGAGTGTACCCAGCCGCATGAGAATCCACTTCCTCCGCTTCCAGACTAGTTTGGCCACCAAAAATGAAACATTAAACAGTCATATGTCCCAGTTGACTATAGACACTACTACAAGTGCCAACCATTAATTTCTGCTGTGCATCTTCATAGGGACTGCTGTGGGCATTTATCTCTCATGCAGTTCTAACGATAGAGAATACATGTTCTCAGGAAGTACTACTGGCCTTTCTACATTGGTGCCTCTGCTCGTAATGATGAAGAGGTAAATCCCAAGTCATCTGCTGCCTAGATGCTTTAAGATGGAAAAATCAGCAAACTCTGGCAACTGGAAAAAATAATTCATGAACTTGGTAACATGAACATAAATAACTGACTTTCTGAACAAGCAGTCATTTACCCTGCCTTTTGGCTGACTTTATTGTGTAGCAGCTGAGCCTTAATTATATTTCCCCTCTCACAATCATACTACCTGACATGTTTTTGTGTGCTAAATAAGACTTTTACATGAAACATTCCAAAAATCCTTGACACCATACTGGTCTAAAGGACTTGTAGATAAATATCTTGAAAAATGGTCTAGATGCAACAATTCTAGGGAATCCTATGAGTTAGAAACTAGTGTCCATCTATTTTAAATCTTTGGGACATATATGACTTCTGTAGTGCAGAGATGTCTCTGTCTGATTGAGAAAGGGAATGAGTTACAAGGCTGGATCAGTCTTAATACATGACAAGTATGTAATGCTTTCATTTATAGACAGGAAAAATCACAAAGATACATGCTATATTGCTTGTTCTGCAAAGGGAAATGATACACTGTTCTGGAATGGAAATTCTCTCCCTGGGCTCTTTTGGGATCTTTGTCTTTTTTTTCTTCTGTGCTTCTAGCTCTGAGTGCTTGTGTGACCTTGCTGTTGTCTTTTTTCTTCATCTTTCCTTCCTCTTCTGGATCTGTAGGAGAGTGCTGCCTTGGCAGATAGATTGATCCAGGTATAGTAAACCTTTTTGTTTGTTTGTTTGTTTCTAACTATCTTCCTGGTGATTCATTTCATTCCAATCCAACTAAACCACTTGCAGCCCTGTCTCTTTGCAATGTTGGACTCGCTTGGCACTTTCATCTAGGCTAACCATTCTGCATTGGTTCTCAGACTTCCCTTTGTCACTCTTAGATGTTCTTAAAAAGATATGCATATTTTCAAAATTCTACAATATATCCGATCTGTCAGCTAATACTGAAAGTAGCATAATCATACATTGACAAAATACAGGATCCAGGTCAATTCCTTGTAATCCTTGAAGTAAGCATTAGAATGGAATCAAGACTATATTGATTGTATTCTGTACAAAAGAAATAACATCTCATTCAGTGGGATCTGTATATATTTATTATTTGTCAGTGTGTGTTTTCCTCCTCCTGTGTGTATGCTGATGTATGATACATCTATACTCACGTAACACTTCCAAGAAGCATGTGCTGTTCATTAGTATGACAACATGATGCATGTTCCTTGCAGGCATGTGTGTGTGAGTGCTGTGTGATCAGGTCTGTGACTTACAAGCATCTTTGCCATCCTTTGTTTGACATGAACATGTTTATGAGGGCTTTTAAAACTTTGAGAAAATAGGTATTTGGCAATAAACACCTTATTTGGGGTAAGTGAAGATATTAGAGGCAAGGAATGTGATTTAGAGCTATGCCTACATCTGTTAACCTAGATTCAGTGTCTAACCACCTATTGTGAAGTCCAGACTTAGCAAGGATAATTATTATTACACCTTGCTTGGATGTCTCTTCCTACTTGTTTGTTGTTTAATAAATATTGATGTTGCATTTTCAGTGGGCTTTACATCAAAATATGTACAACATAGTATTGTAGTATTGCATAGCACCCATGCTTAATTACTTTTTCTGCATTCCTCAGCAATCTAAATAGAACATAAACATTAAGAGCCCTGAAGGGTGGGGTTAGTGACAGGGGGAGAAGAATAGGAAATCTTGGGCCACCTCTTTTAGAGAGATTGCTGATTTCTGCTTTAATACCAAACCGCAAGAAGAGTGAATAGGATCGGACACATTTTCTTTTTCTTTTCTTTTTCCTGTATAAAAATAGTTACAGAAAAGTTTTGAGTGCTTATAAGGAATCATATTTTTTTTTGCTCTTTATCAAAGAAGCCTGACCAGGGATGGAAGATATTATTTGGCAAATGTGCCTAAACTACCTTACTTGAATTGGATGATGGCTTTCCTGCTATGAAAGGCCAGGAGAGTGCTCTCAGCCAGGAGATAAACTTCTGCCTAGGTCCCCAGTCTTTGTGGTGCATCCAGAATACTACTGGGAAGGGGTCTCAATTAAGAGGAATGGAAATTCAGAACCACGGAGCATAAATTCCCCCTCTTAAAAGTCCACATTAGGTTGTTCTGGTAGCCTACTTTAACTGTTGCAATGCAGCTGCTTGCTGGTCCTAGGTATACATGCTGTTCTTAGCCCCTGATTTGTTGCAACAAAAAAGCAGGGTTGCAGTTAGAAAGTTTTAGACTCTGGACAATGATCAAATGTTTTTCCCTCGATACCATAAGGTATAGTACATCACTTAACTTTGAAGTGTGGTAGTCAACTCTCCTGTGTTTGGACACTCATTTGTCTGAGTAAGACTCAGGATGTCTGATTCAGGTTCTGTATCTGATGGTACCACTGCAAAAAGAGAACTGAGAAAAATTAGGTTGGGAAGCATTCTGTCCAAACATCTCCTTGCAGATTCCTTGATGATAACATTCCCCAAATTTAGTAGCTTTCCCCTTTTCTGGAATTTAATATGAACAGCAAAACCCTTCATTTTGGGTTTCTAATCTTTTACTAGATTTTTAAAAGGACTGAACAAGTGCTATTGAGAGTTTGATCTTGTGACTCCACCTTTCCATTATCTAGATATAGAGTGTAAGATAACAGTAACATATAAGCAGAATTTGTTAATGGCCAGAGGATTTCCTTTGATGGGCAATACCAAAAATATGTTTAAATTTTAGTAAGTCATGAGTGATGATAAGATGAAAAAACAAGGCAGATAATAGTATAAGCACAAACAATGCATACATACAGTCTCTGACTCCTTTTTATTATAGACTTTGTGCATTTAGCAATAGATACAAACTAATGCACCTTAAGGTGTAAGCTTTAATGGGAGAGAAAAGGGGTTAACACCCCCTAGCTAAAACAACCAGGAATGCTTTGAACAAGAATCCAACTGGGTAAATCCCATAGTTTTTTAAAGGGTGTGATATTCCTCCTGCTTCTGCCAAATCAATATAGGTGCTCTTCTTCCCACATTATGTTCAACCTTCCTGGGTTAATGTATACATGAATCTCCTGGTGTGTTTCAGAGTCTCTGCAATCCACATGCCTGCAGTGATATGGGGGACAGGTCACTTTCAATGTAACTATCTTTGCTCTACCTATTTCTCATGGAGAACTTCAGAAATTTTCACTGGTGCATAAAAATTGGGGATGGGAGAGGAAGGACAGGACTAAACTTGTAAATGATAAAGCTAACAAACTGCCAGTCACAAGGCCACCCATCTCTTGAGGAAGGATTAAATCCTTACTTCAGATGACAGGAAAGGGCCCTAAACACACCCTGTCTTGCCAGTTGTCACTAACCAGACCTATACTGTGCTCTGAGGACTCCCGGGCAGTGCCAGTGACTGCTTTCCTGCTTCTGTAAATGCTATATCAGAAATTAAACTTGTATGGCTCTTCAGAGTAACCACTTGCCTCTCACACATTAGTTTATTACAATCAAGAGTCCATTAAAACAGCATATAAAATACATTTTAAAACAGTGCCTAGAGGTAGTAGGATTGACACTATACAAATGAATATGGTCAAATCAAACCAATAGTTTAAAATAATATATTAAAATTCCATAGGAAAAGGTAAAAGTTTCCCCTGACATTAAGTCTAGTTGTTTCCAACTTGGGGGTGTGGTGCTTATTTGCATTTCTAAGCCAAAGAGCCGATGTTGTCCATAGGCACCACCAAGGTCATGTGGCCAGCATGCCTGCATGGAGTGCTGTTACCTTCCCACAGAAGTGGTACCTATTGATCTACTCACATTTTCATGTTTTCAAACTGCTAGGTTGGCATAATCTGGGGAGCGGGGAGTCCACCCCGCTCCCTGGATTCGAACTGCCAACCTTTCGGTCAGCAAGTTCAGCTGCGCAGTGGTTTAACCCATCCACCACGGGGCCCATTAAAATTACATAGACACGGAAAATCTGTTCATAATATTGAGGATTAAACATTTTGCCGATTGCGGCGTAAGCAATTTGTTAGAGCCCTGGAGCAGGACAACCACAAGAGATTGCAGGGAGTACCAGAGGAAGCATTGTACGATGGGATATCATAGATACTCCAGTCTGACCCCGGTGAAAACTGCAGTGGAAAAGTACATGTAATATAATTTCAGTTTCATAATTATCACAGGGTAGTATCTCTTACTCAGTGGAGTTCTATTAAATCTGGCAGATAAATAGGTCAGAGGGAATGATATTAAAACTTGCCAAGAAAAAAGCCTTTCTGTACCTTGGGAAAGTTAAATAAATAAATAAGGCATTTTATCCTGGCAAAGGAGGGCATGGTAAACTCCAAAAATGGGAAAATCACATACCTCATGCCTTGCCCTGCACAGGTGACTGTGCCAGTAAATCTGTTGTGGTACTGTAGCAGAGGAATGCAACTTGCCATCTTACTCTGAAGAGAACTCAGGGTGAAATGTCAGCCTAGCTTGCTCTCTAGAGAGCAACATGGGTAATTTGATAATACAGTTCACCAGAGAGACCAATAAACACAAATGATCTATAGCAGTGGTTCTCAACCTGTGGGTCTCCAGATGTTTTGGCCTTCAACTACCAGAAATCCTAACAGCCTATAAACTGGCTGGGATTTCTGGGAGTTGAAGGCCAAAACACCTGGGGACCCACAGGTTGAGAACCACTGATCTATAGTATGAGGGTCCTTTACTCAGAATGGTAATGGCCATGGAGACAGTCTCAAAATTTGACCTTTGATGTCATTTGGTCCATTCTCATCCATATACATTTTTGGGGCATTAAGCTTTCAGAGGTGCAGTAAGCTAAATATTCTGCATATATAAGTGACAAGTTGACAGATATGCATCTTAAAACTTAATAACGTCACACTGTTTATTCACATGGACCAAATGGGTCCTTGTGAGCCATCTTGTCAAACGAAACAGATCAGGAGATTAAAGAAATGATTGGTTTTTCTGAGGGGTGTAAGACAATCACTAGGTGGGTGCTCATAAAACCTTATAGAGGTTCTACTTGAAACTTTTTACAGCAGAGGAAATAGAAGAACCGCAGGTTCTACAGATAATATTGTTCAAACAACAGAAGTGTGTTTTGTAAGATTCAATTACTAAAGTAGCATGTTGGGGACGAAGCTCATATTCTTTCCTCTCCATGTCTCATTCATGTCATGGGCAAGTCAAAATATATTAGCCTAATCTACAACAGTGGTAGCTGTGAGTGTAAAACTGTTATTCAAAACTTTGTGGAAAGAGGGCCAGATACAAATATAACAATTGAAGGATCTCCACAAGAGAACAAATTAACCCAAGAAGACTGAATACAAGATACTGGAGAGCAAAGCAAATCTGTGCTCATTCACTGTAGCTGTTTCAGTTTTTTAAAAACAAAAACAAAAAAACAATACCTATGCTGCTGCCTAAAACCCAATTACACAGCCTTTACAAGATCTGCTGCTTTAAATTGTTCCCTTTGGGAGTTATGTTAGAACCTTGCTGCGATTCATTTACAGCTGCTGTTCATTTGCCAGCAATTCTTCACAGGACAAGGGCCAATTCACCTGTGCCACAGCTAGGATGATGGTAGCAGTGCTATAAAGAAACTTAGCAACAATGTCAACATGATAAATATTAAAAAATATTCTCCAATAACATTTTTAAAAGGTTGTTCTGAAGCAGAAAAAATGGATCCCATGTGATCCCTGACAGTTTATTAACGTTTTTCTGTCGGTTGCATTCCTTGAAGAACAAGACCTAGAACCTCCTCCACACAAAGTTAAAATAGGATTTATATTATTTTGTGATTACCTATTCCCTATAGCTACTCCTTTCTTGAGCCAATCCTAAATTGTGATTTATTGCTGCAAATTATTTAAATAACCTCTGATTTATATTTGTAACCAAAAAAGAGCTATCAAGAGCAAAATGTGGCTAGGTATTACTCTCATCATTAGCATTCTCCTAATCAATGTTCTTATGTGACTTTGTGGGATTTCTTTGGATGTGTTCCTTTTATGTACAACGAGGACACACTATGTTATGTTTTTAGGTGCTAACAAAAGAAGAAAGAATATCACAATGAATTAATTTTTTAACAAAATAGCATAATATCTGATGCACTTGAAGCCAGAAGTCTTCAATCTTGTCTCTTTTGCCTTTTCCATCTCAGGCATGAGGAATACTAAAACACTGTGTTCTGTTTCATGGTGGAATCTTATTGAGTTCAGAGGTCTAAGTATTGTACCGTGAGGCTTATTACAAATTGGTCGTCTCCTGGGGTCTCTTGTGTAGTCATAATGCCAAAGTGGGCTTAAGAGAATAATACACCCACCATGGACCTTACTATGCTCAGATTTCACCCTCACAAATATGCAACCGCTGTATGTGTATATGTGCCCTCTTGTCATTTGTCAATCCCATGAACTTTATAGGGTTTTCTTTAAATAAAGAATACTCAGAGTTGCTTTTGCCAGTTTCTTCTTCTGAAATATAGCTTACAACCCCATGTGTTCATTTGTGGTCTTTCATCCAGTTAGTATCCTTGGCTGACCCTGCTTATCTTCCAAGATCAGATGGGATCTGGTGCCTTTATGGTATATAGCAGTGGTTCCCAACTTTTATTTTGACCAGGGACCACTCCCAACATTAGTACCAAAAGGGTTACAAGTAAGTTTTTGGTCAACTTTAGATTCAGTTTGTTTGTTTGGGGTGCTGATTCAGAAAACTGCATTGGATAAACCACATCAGCTCTAGTTTGTGATACAGAACATATGTCATCCAGTAGTCACCATCTGCTCATCTGCAGAAAACCATATTTAATAATCTAGAGCTGACATGGTAGTTGTAATATTTTGTGGGCAGTCAGCCTCTCCCCTTCTGACATCCCTGTTGCCTTGGCACTATAAGAGGCTTTGCAAGACCAGTTGCTCTAGTTGCTGTGTGCTTTCAAGGCAACTGTGCAGTAATGGTGAGGCCGCTGATCATATTTTCATTCTTGCGGACCACTGGTGGTCTACAGACCACAGGTTAAGAACCACTGGTATATAGGCGTACAAACCTGTTACTTTAATGTTAGCTCGATTTCTTTGAGGAAGTAGACTGAAATCTGTAAAAACTCATACCAAAATAAAACAGTTTCAAAGGAACTGCTAGATTCTTTACCCACTCCCTGTTTTCTTTTGACCCATTGCAGAAACACATGCAGGAAGTCTTTTGTACTTTTGTTTACAAACACCTCCTTGCATCAAGGCAGGGATCCTGTGGCTTTCCAGATTTCTTTGAACCTCAGCCTAGCTGACAGTCACAGCTGATGGAAGTTGGAGTCCTGCAAACATCATGAGGCTACAGTCTCTCCCCCAGGCCTGCACAACCTGTGGCCCTCTAGATGTTTTGTACTTCAGCTCCCAGAATTCTTGACCATTGGACAGTGTGGCCACGGCTTTTGCGAGTTGGAGGCCCAAACACCTGGAGGGCCACAGGTTGTGCTGGCCTTCACCTCAATTACACAGAGGATAGTGACAGAGGGGAAGTGAATCCACTCTACTTTTCAATCTGAACTTTAAAGCAGCTGTCTCAGTTTTGGGGGAAGAGTTTAGCTGCTTGGGTAGCACCTTTGAAGTGAGTTTGAACTAAAATGTGGAGCAGATTTAGTACCCTACTATCACTGAGACAGAACTGTTCCATTCAGGACATGGTTTGATAAGGATATTAGCTAAGCCTTCTAAGATACTGGGGAACAATTCCAATTATATGCCTTATGATACAGTTTTTCTCTTTTTCACAAGTAGTTTTAGAAGACTGAATTGCCCCTTACCCAGGCTTCAAGTTTAAAAATAATTGGGATCGAGTGGTAAAGTCAACTTACATAGCTTACCCTTTTGTCATTAGCAACAGAGCAGGGGTTTGGTAGGTCCCAGTGATGAAGATGTCTCTTCCTTGGGTTGCCTGAGTGAGAGGTGCAGAGGGTTCCTGAATAGAAGAGAACATTTCAGCAGGTGTTGTTTGTTGCATGGTTGTATGAGAAGCAACACCTGCTGAGATTCTCTCTAGTGGAATAATCATTACAGGTACAGCAGCTCTCTAATTTACAGTCTGGCAATCCTAACGGTTAAGGATTTCACTTACTAGCATGAAATAATTATTTTGTTGCAATGCCTTGTCCTTCACGTATCATAGAAAAGTTTCATGTCGATTCACTGCTTTTCAGAAAATAGCTTCTAGTCTCTTCCCTTTTAGGGCCAAGTTACCCGAGCACAGGAAGCCGAGGAGAACTACATCATCAAGCGAGAGTTGGCTGTTGTAAGGCAGCAGTGCTGCTTAGCAACAGAGAACTTACAGAAAGCCCAAAGCACTATTCGGCAGCTGCAGGAACAACAGGTAAGCATGTGGTGTCACACATGAAATCACAAAGCTGAGGGAAAGTTGCCAGTTACATGATTTTGTTTGGGTAGTGGCTTTCTATGAGACCAGGCCAAGTAAAGGCCAACAAAGGACAAATAAAAAGGCCTTCCCACTATTTTTTTTAAAAAATAATTCAAATTCTTTGTGTGGTTGTTTGAATTTTTACATGGCAGTCTAGACCAGGCTTTACCAAGATGATGCCCTTTTAACTCACACATCATCATGGCATTTGTGATCCACCATTCTCATTATTTGGGATGGGGTCCCACAACTGCCATCTGCCTTAGCAGAGCCTATGGTTGGAGCTGGGAGTTGTAGTCCAGGAACATGTAAAGTACTACATAATTTCCACCCTTCTCTAAAGAAAGAATACCACTGTATACACTATATAAACATATTTTATATAAACTATACACATTATACAAACTATATATACACATATGGGTACACTATATAAACATATTCATGGTGTGTTTACAGCCTCTTTTGAAAGATGAAATTACAGCTAATGTAAGAAATTTGTCTCAATTTTCTTTTTGAAAAAATGCAGTGATGGTAGAAATTCCACATTATTTCTGTTGCATTTTTCTTAAATCAGATTTAAAAACACCACCAGGCATTGAGAGACTGCTCAATGTCATATCTACTTGAGTGCTCCCTTCTATATTTAATCTTTCCATTCATTCCAGAACTGTTTTTTGTTGAGTGCTTTTCAATCTATGGTGACACTATCTGTGGGTTTTATGGTCAGGATTTGTTCAGAAGGGTTTGCCTTCCTCTGAGGTTGAAAGGGTGTGACTTGCCAAGGATATCCAGTGGGTTTTCATCCAGTGGATTTCTGTGGCTGAGCAGGAATTGTAATCCTAGTTTTCTAGTTCAAATCAGCTACAACATACTGGCTGTCAGTAAAAGCTGTAGATACAATAAAAAGTGTGAAGACAGTATTCTATACTTCATAATTTATGGATGACTGCAATGGCATGGAATTGTACTGATTTAGCAATGTTTGTGCAGGGAAATCCTCGCCACTCTGAGGAATTTGTGACTCACCTGGAAACTGAGTTGGAGCAATCACGCCTGAGGGAATCTGAAACTCTGAGTGCATTGAAAGAGATGCAGGACAAAGTGCTGGATATGGAGAAGGTACACTTGCTGCCAGGATTGGTGTGGAAGTATGCATGCATGCTTTAGTAACTTAAGCTAGCAAAGCTTCACTGACTTCTCAAAGAAGTTTGTTAACTTAGCATCTTTTATGTGAATGAAGATTGCAGTACTGAAAACAACTGTTTCCCATTAAAGGTTTAATTATGCCTTCGGATCGGTATTTAAGCACATGCAATTGTGTGGGTTGAGATGGATTTCCACCATCAACTCTTCCCTACAGCAAGCCTCCCAATATCTGAAAATGATGCATAGAGAATTGAGGGGCAGGACCAGATGGGTCAGACTATGGTGCTGGGGGGTGAAGAAAGGTCACAAAAAACCAGACAGAGGTTGCATTCTTTGCGGATCTGCTCCATCCATAGCAGGTAGATCCTGGGTCCATCCCATGGTCTTACCAATAATATTAAAGCATTATATGTATTCATACATTCACCTGAAGAAACTCTCAGAACAAATGTTCTCCATAAAAAAGATGATGTTAAACAATACACTTTGAAGGATTTTTTTTTCTTTCGTTGAAATGAGGGAACACAGTGAGCTCAAGCCTTGCTAGTATGTGCTTTATTTAAAGAAGTTCAATCAGAATTCACTGATATATTCAGTTTATCGCTTGCCTCTGTTATGGCATAGGATCCAAGGCAGATTAACATATACCATAATTTTAAGTTTTTTTATTGTATAATACATAGAAACATACAATCTTTGAAATTAACATTCAAATTACCAGTATTTCCCCCAATCCCACCACCACATTCCCCCCCCCCCCAGGAACAGTTAAGTACTTTTGCTGTGTTTATTACAATTGTTCAATCATGAGAATAGTCTTATTTAATACCGTATATTTATCCTTCCCCTTTATTCTGCAAATGAGACCCTTCTGTTTTGCTTCCCATGTCCTTCTGCTTTGACCCGTTGTATAGTAACTTTCCTTTCGCTGATATAATCTTGGAGAAGGCTAGATATTTATACCAAGTTTTTATATCCCATTTCTTGTGGTCCTTCCAGCCCAGAGCCACTGAGGCTTTGATTGCCTCTATCGTGTTTTATTATTTCCTCACTTTATATTCCCCTTTACTTTCCAATTTCTGGGTGAAAAATTGAGTCTTATATACCATAATTTAAAACATTCTAAAGTTGAAGCCAAGAGCTGTTATGTGGTGTTTTATGTATTCTAAATAGGTTTTTAATGGTTTTAACTCTTTATTTTTAAATAATTATTGGTTTAATTCTGTTTTATTGTTTATAGGCCTTAGGTTTTATTTTGTATTTTGTATTGTTTTTTGCTGCTTTGAGTCCCTGTTAAGAGAAAAAAGTGGCACATTAATAATAATAATAATAATAGCTAAAATTCGAATAATAAAAATCTTTTTAATAGTTAGACAAGCACAACTATTAAAACACTGCTAGAGAACTGTTATATTTCAAACACAGTGAAGAAAATAAAAAAAATTAAAAGTACAAGATGCCACATTGAAATACTTTTCTGCCATATCCAATTAACAGACAAAGACCTGCCTAAATGTAAAAGCCTTCTGAAAGAAAGGGAGCAGAAAGTGGTCCAGCCATGCCTCCTGTGGGAAAGGATTCCATACCCTGGGAACAGCCACCTAGAAGGCCCTTTGCCAGACTCCCACCAGAGGAGTCTGTGAGGATGGTGGAACAGAGAGATGGGCCAAGCCCATATGGGAGAATATAGTTATTCAGATAATCTGGACCAAAGGCATGAGAGTGAGTCCAAATCCTTAAGTCAACTTTCTGACTTCCCTTCCCTTTGCAGAAGAACAGCTTGCTGCCCGATGAAAACAATGTGGCACGCCTGCAGGAAGAACTGAAGGCGATGAAGGTGCGGGAGTCTGAGGCCATGAAATCCTTCAGGGAACTCCAGCAGCAGGTCAAGGAACTCAATGACAACTGGCAGGCAAGTTCCACCAGAGCGGCTGCTCATTTTGTAGCTGCCTACTTCCTCATTGAGACTGCTCTGGATTTTCACCCCTTTCACAGCATGCGGCATTGCTAAACCTTTTTTGATAGAAAGCAACAGGGGCTGGATGTTTAAAGTGCACAGTACTAGTATCAAAGGAACAAAGTTTTTGAAATAAAAGTTTGTTAAGCTACAAAAATATTTATAATACATTAATAAAACTTTATTTATATACTGTCCTATCTCCCTGAAGAGACTAGGGGTATTGAACAACAAAGTCAGCAAACATTCAAAAGAAAAACGCATAGACAAATAACCATCCCAGCCAAAACCCTAGAAGATCTATATTTAAACCAAAAATAAGAGTCATTATAACATGTAACATTTACAATTCTATATTAATCCATAGTATAACAGGTTGCTCCTTCTTATTCTGTGTCTTCAAGTCATTTCTGAGTTATGGCAGCCCCATGTCAAACCTATTATGGAGTTTTTTTGACAAGATTTTTTCAGAGGAGGTTTGCAACTGGGGGCTGAGAGAATATGACTTGCCCTATGTCCTACAGTGGACTTCCTTGGCTGAGCAGAGATTTGAACCCTAGCTTTCCAAAGCCCAGTGCAACAACCAAACTACTACATCATGCCGGCTCCTCTTATTACATGTTAGGGAACAATACACTGGATAACACATAAATTTTAGCCCTGTTTCTGAGTATATTTGACTTGAGTCCAAAATGGAACCAATTTTCCCCTATCAGCTCTAGTTTTTGAGATACAGAACATATGCCGTATACTAGACCTGGGTAACAACGGAAAAATTTGTTTCTAAAATCAATTCGTTTTTTGGGGTTTTTTGCGTTTCGATATTTAAAAGAATTCCGAAATTTTTCTTTTAAAAAGTTCGATATTTACGAAATTTCGTAAATGTTAAAAAATTACGAAACATTAACGAAACAAATACGAAACAATAATGAATCGATTCGTTAATGGCGGACGCGACCGTGCAATACGCTAAAAAACCTCCAAATGGGACAGGGGGAACTTCTGAAGCTTCCCTCTCCCTCTGTTGTTGACTGTTGGTGTGATATTATAATTTTTTTTCACTAATTAAACAAAAAACAACTATAAAACTTGCCCCAGACATGCGGAAATAATAACGAAACGACCTCAAACCGATAACGAAACGAATACATAACGAATCCGAAGCATTTACTAAACGAATTTAAAAATTCGTTTCGTTTTTAAGTTGCTCCAGAATGGTTCGTTATCGCTTCGTTATAAAAAAAATAACGAATTTTTAACGAATTACGAATTAACGAAACCGCCCAGCCCTACCGTATACCAGTGCCATCTGCTTATGCATGGAAAATCATTATAATCATATTTAAGAAACTAGAGCTGATTTGGTCTATCCAGTGCAGTTTTCTAAATCAGATCTCCAAATAACTCCAGGAACATGCTTAAAAACCAAGACACCAAGGGAATTTTTAATGGTTGGGCTGTCTAATCAGCATCCTGTCAAGGTAAACCTTTCAAAAATATGTCAATTGTGTATAAAGTCACATACAAAGTGTATAAATTTTGATGGGTCTGAAAATACATATGAATGTATTTATAAAAGTAATTTACAAACCGATAGCAGAAATATATGAATTTAGTGTTGAAAATCTGAGTAGTATTTCACTTCAGAGATTCCTCCATGCCTATACATATCACTGTAAAATGGGCAAAAACAAGGCCCATCTTTACAAATCTGTAAATATGAAACTTTAAAACAATGCTCTTGCAAACGATTGCTGATGTAATGGAAAAGTTGTTCCATCAAATTGATTTTTACAGGAATTCTAATACTTTATTATTGTTTTGCATGTTCCCTATTTTCCGAGAAGCATCAGTAGTGAGCCCCTTTGGAAACAAGAAATTCTTCAGATTAGTTTCCAGTTTGATGCTTTCTGGACAGTGCTTCAGTAGTATCTTGACCTGTTCTGTTGTGTCTATACCTTGCATTGATCAGTCCCAATCAGACTTGTGGATTATCATTCTGGCTTCCCTAATCTAGGCCCATCTGAGTCGGACAGGTGGGAGATGGAAAGACTCACCTCGCAAGAACACCATGAATGACCTCCAGGATGAACTGATGAGCCTCCGTCTCCGTGAGACGCAAGCTCAGGCTGAGGTCCGAGAACTGCGCCAGAGGGTGGTGGAGCTTGAAACACAGGCAAGTGAATATTGGTTAATAGATGTGTTCCTCTAGAGCTTCAGTGGAAATGCCTTAAGAAATTGTTCTTTTTACTCTTTTTTTCTTACAATTTGAAGCTTCTTTGAGTTCTAGCCACCTGAAATATAATGTTGCTTCTTTTCATAACTTCTGTTGAATGAAATGGGTGACATTTTGAAGCAATGGAAGAGAACTGTGTGTTTGTATTTAAGGGAAGGGTTTTCAGAATTTCAGTGCATTCATTTTTTGATCTGCAGCTCCCAGAATCCTCCAAGCAGCTTGTACACTAAATTGTCCAGCCTCTCAGGGTGAAGTACACAGAGACATGTTTTTTGTGTTTGAGCTTAAAAATGCCAAGTTGTCATGTTGCCTTTGTCCCTGTTTTCCAGGATCAGATCCACAGCAATCACCTAAACCGGATGGAGCAGGAGTGTGCTGGGCTGCATGAAAAGGTACAATACCTCACTGCCCAGAACAAGGGACTGCAGACCCAGCTAAGTGAGACCAAACGCAAGCATGCTGAATCCGAATGCAAGGTGAGGTCTAGTGTGGGGCCATACAATGGCCATATGGTACTTTGACCTGTCTTATACATGGCATGAATAAGTCTTACTGAATTACTGCTCAGAAGAGAAGCAATCAAAACGGAAACTGTTTCCAGACCTATAAGGCTTATTCTTGTTGTCTGAAAGAGTGTTTCTTTGACCCATTAGAATTGTTAAATGGCAATTTGCTTTTTTTCCCCAGAAGATGGAATCTTCAATTTCAGAAATCTTTGGCTTTAGCACTCTGGCCCTGGGCATTTTTTGCAATTTAATGATTCTTCTTGGGGATTCTGACATTTTCAGGTGTCATAAGGAGGTGTCAGTGATGTGTTGTGGTTGTGTCTGGTTCCCACCTTTGACTGGTCTTGCTTGGGCTCTTCTGAGTTGCTGCCATTGATACTGATTTTGTGTCACAGAGCAAAGAAGAGGTGATGGCTGCGCGACTGCGAGAAGCTGACAGCATGGCTGCTGTGGCAGAAATGCGGCAACGGATCGCTGAGCTGGAGATCCAGGTGAGGGACAAAGGAAGGTTAACTGAACTGCTTTCGGTTCAAGGCAGCATTTTGTCCCAAGAGTAGCTTATCAGAATCCTTTATGTCAGTTAAAAATGTGTAATGTGTAGTTACACATTTGTCAGAGTTACATATTCACAATCTGTATGTAGCCCATAGTTTAGGCACTGTAAAACAGATTGGAGGAACTGGGCTGGGATTTACTGCATACCATCACAGTTACAGGGATTATGCATCTATAAATCACATACAGGATAGTGATCTCCGTTTTTCTCATAATTTGAAATAGTACTCTGTGGACTTAAAATTAACAGTGAAAACACGTATATTTAAAGAATTATTGATAATATTCTTTTATTTCTATTTGAGTATTCTAAATTGAGATATGAATTATTCATATAAAGAACATGAAGATACTCAGAAAAAGAATATGAAACATGAAAATTGACATAATGGCTCTTTAGGACATTAAATTTCTACCATCCCCTTGGTGTCATAATTAATGTTGACTTTTTAAATCATGTTCTATAAGAATAACTTGTTCCCAAACTAAATGTTTAATATCTCTTCTCCCACTTCAACTCACTGCATTTTAAGTGTAGCTTGATATTGTGCCACAGGTCTCTGTACCATGCCCCAGCCTCATACCACTGGGGAGGCAAGCAATGTTGTAACATGCTATCATGCATTAGTGTCTCATATTACCCCCCAGATACTCACAAAAGTGAGGAATAGAGCCAAGAGGAATGAGAGTGTGTTTCCTCTCATTGTGCATGGAGCTCCCTTTAGTACTGATGCTCCTGGGCAGTTGGAACCCTTCACCCTCCCCATCTTCTATTTTGTTAGCATCAACTATTGTTGAATTTTTTTAAAACAAAAATGCATTTTTTTTATCACCCTACCATTATACTTTCCCCTTTGTTTTACTTGCTTATGCATCTAATTTCAAAATAGACTCCTAGCAGTCAACCTCTCTGGGGGATATGGAGTTTTAGTTATTATTTTGGATGATCAAAACACTTTTTAAACCTCCTTTTTTGAGAGTCCTAAGAGAGTTTTTAAAATAGCGCTGGAAACCTGTTCCTAATGCTTTCTAGTAACCTATTTACTTTTATTATAGGCCTTTGGCTTAATCCCCTTAGTAATAAAATCGTTCTTAAAAACTCAGAAATTTCTTGGTTGGTACAGTTGGTTGAGCTTAAGCACTCAAGACTTTTTTGAAGATCAGGAATTCAAATCACACATATAGTAGCAATCTGTGGAGAACCACCAGTAGCACTACCTTTCTGCAGTGGTGTGAATGTTTGCTCCTGTGATGCCAGAGACTTTGCTGCTGGCTGTAGTGCTGCTGGAAGGGTTTGCCCTGTCTGACACATTTTAGTGAAGAGCCAGACGAAATGTCCCAAATAGCTACCAGGCAGCAGCAACGGGGTGGGCGGGAGTGATATTGGCAGAAGATCTCTCAGAGGCATCAATTTTATAATACTTTTAATCAAGCATAAGACTTTAAAATCCCTTTCCTTTTCTTTCCTTATCTAGAGGGAAGAAGGAATGATCCAGGGTCAGCTAAACAATTCTGACTCCTCCCAGTACATCCGTGAACTGAAGGATCAGATTGATGAGCTCAAGGCAGAGGTGAGCCCAAGTTGGTGCAAGAAAGAAGAGAAATCTGTGAATGAGCCAGGTTGTGTGGCTTCAGATAGCTTATTGGTAGGTATCTCAGATATCCCGGTTAGCTCCATATCAAGCTATCTCTTTTGGTTTAAGTAGCTTGCAGAACTACCGTTTTTCTTCTGGTCAGAGGCTAACTTTAATGTGCATGACTCCCAGGTTTGCAGCATGAAATGCCATAATTGTGCCAACAAAGCACTACAGAGGAGATCTACATACTCGCAGAACCAGCTAATGTAGGAGATACCACAGTGATGAAAGCCCAATGTTCACATTATGTATTTAAAACATTCCCTCTAGGTTGCTCTGAAAGTAACTGCTTGTCTCACACAATCCTGGCAATCTCTGAAGTAGAGCTGGAATAAGTTGCAACTCACAACACTCCCAGCCAGATAGCAATCACATTTTCTGGAGGATTCTGAGATTTGTGTCCAAAAAAGAATCTCTACCAAATTTGTTTGCAAAAAGTGGGATGATTATTACTAGATATCCTATTATGCCATTTTTCTTTTGGCACCTCTTAGAGAACAGGACATTGTGTACATTTAGGCCAGGAGTCCCCAAACTAAGACCTGCGGGCTGGATGTGGCTTTCCAGGGTCATTTACCCAGCCCCTGCCCTAAACTTTAGACAGAGTCGAAGTCCTAAGTCTGAAATAACGTAAAAGCACACAACAACAAGAATCCTAATTAACTTGACTATCTCATTAGCCAAAAACAGACCCACAGTTGCAATTGAAATAACGGTAAGTTTATGTTGGTTAAAATTGTTCTTCATTTTACATGTTGTTTGGTTTTGTTCTTTCATGCGTTTTTTTTTTCACTACAAATAAGATATGTGCAGTGTTCATACGAATTCACTCGTATTTATTTCAAACTGTAGTCTGGTCCCCCAACAGTTGGAGGGATGATGAACTGCCCCTCTGCTTTAAAAGTTTAGGAACCCTCTTGACATAGACAAATGTTTAGAGTGTTGTTTCTGATTTTTTTTATTACACACACCGTCCCTGGTGGGGGGAGGGAAGGGCAGAGCCTTAGCACATCTGAGCACGGTAGTTCCATAGGAGCTTTAGGAGCAGTATATATTACACAAAGGCACAGAAGAAGAAATTGTACTCTGTCAGCTGTGGGTGCTTTCTCTGCACTTGAATGGTCAGAGCAGTGTTTCTTAAACTCTGCTCCTCCAGGTGTTTTGGACTTCAGCTCCTAGAAATCCCAGCCAGTTTAGCAGCTGTTAGGAATTGTGGAGCTGAAGTCCAAAACATCTGGAGGAGCAGAGTTTGAGAAACATTGGGGTAGACGATACCTACAATGCTGAGTGCCAAGGCTGCCTTTAATACCTTTGTCTGTCTTCTTGTAGATCCGGTTGATGAAGGGCCAGAAGCCTTTTGAGGACTCCATGGGCTTTGATGGCATCCATATTGTGAGCCATCTGGCAGTGGACGATGACTCCCTGCATTCCTCAGACGAGGAGCTGCTAACCAGCCCCATGGTGGTGGGTGCCCTACAAGACGTCTTGTACCCTTTGTCTCCCCATAACACACACTTTCTACGGGGTGCTGAGAGCTCTGGCAAGGAGAGTGATGGCACTACAGATAGTGATCCAGATGACCCTGCCTCTGCCACCGAGCCTAATGGCGAGATCATCTTTGCAGAAGCCCTGGGCAAATGAGGAGAGAGGTTGCTACCCCATGTCGACTAGGAAGGCACTTGGTCTTCTGCCCAGCCTGTACTGAGGGGCCAGGGCCAGAGACAGACCATGCGAGATGCAACTGAGCATTCTCTGCCCAGTGAGTACTATGGCCCTATCTGGGGATGGCACAGGGGAAAGGCAGAGCTCTACAGCAGGCCTGCATTACCTGGAACATCTCTATTGACTTGATTGTTGTCTGCACTGCCTTTTGCTCCAAGCTCTGTGGTCACTGGTAGTTGAAATCCAAACCCTCGTATTAGCTTCATTCACATTTCCCCACCCCGCCCTATTGCCACAGCTTTTTAAATTTTCTCCCACACACAGGTTTGCACACTCAAGAACTGTGAAGGGACAACAGAACCAAGCAGTCCACTGGTTCCATCAAAGGCACTCCAGTAGAATGAATCTCAGTCTCCTTGCACTAGGAGAGATGAGAAGGGCCAGTCTTCCCTTTGTGTATATGTGTCCCTTCCCCTACTGATATCCATACAGAAGAGAAAATCAAATGCCACAACACTTGCTTGTTGTTTTCAAACTAGGGGAAGGACAGGAAAGAGTGTGTGTAGAGGGTGCTTCTGAAGAGGAGATTGCGTTCTAGAGAGAAAATTATATTTTTGTTCCTGCATATATTATTTATTTATACTGTGTAATTGCCAAATCTTCTCTCCTTGAGAAGCCTTGGCGTAAAGCTTTAAGTTAATGATCGTGAGGGCTTTTCTGGAGCAGCCAGAACTGCTTCTGTAGCTAAAAACACAGCATTTTTTTTTCTATTTAACTGTGCTGTGGTAAGGGAAATGTTTTGTGTTACCTTCTGTGGCTCATTTTGCCTGCAGCTGTTGTGCTGTAATCGTAACAGGAGATTTAGGTGCTGTCTTACTCCCCACGGTAAACAGCAGTTCCTCAAGGATTCCTTGCCTGGAATTGTGCGGAATGGTGCTGTATTTTTCCACAACTCCACCTTTATGGCTGTCTCTTCAAACATTGGTCCTGGGAAAATTCAGATCAGTACCTGATTTGCTTCAGGTAGGTGAGAGTCCTTCAAAACACCTGGCAAATATATATTATTTAGGAAAGAAAGCTGAGTTAGTAAACTCCTCCCATGTCTCACTAGGTCAGAATAACTGGCTTAATTTTAAAGTATCAGAGAATGCAAGTTGAGAAATGCTTTTTTTGTTGATAAGCAAAGTTAGCATGTGGAAGAGATGGGAATTACAGGGCTGCAAAGATTTGTGATCCCCCAAAGATTTTTTTAAAATCTGTATACCCAGACTTGTATGTGAAGCTGTCCATGAAGCATACATGAGGCTCCCAGCTCCAGCTTTGCCTGCTAACATTAATGGGGTTGGAGTTGCAGTGGAGAATTGGCAAGTACTTCATCTCTTGTCCCAGTCAAATGGCTACTCAACTTCCCTCTAGTGCTCTTATGGTAACCAGAAAACTAGTTACAATACCTTGCAATGTTATACAATGTTATGTATTACTAGTACAGTACATAACATTGCCCCTAGAAATGCCACTTGCAGTAATAACTTTGCCCCCCCCCCCCCCTTCTTCTTCTTTTTCTTAATTGGTGTGAGGTCGGGGAGTTGGGAAGAAGAGGAAAAAGGTTCCTTTCTCAATGACACCACTTTGTCACTTTGTTATCATGAAGATTTCTGACACAGGATGAACTGAGAGTTCCTAATTCACAACTAGTCATTCTGATTAAATAATATTTTAAAGGGACTGTCCCATGGTCCCCAGCATAATGGGGATGAGTGCTACTTGAATGTCTGGATTACAGGGTGACCTCTGGCACCCATTATTACACCCTCCCTCTCAGCTCCACCATCTGGGGGAAAAGGGAGCAAGGCTTAGCAGCATGTGTTATCGTTAAACTGTCTCAACTAGATATGATCTGCAGTTGGCATTCATAGTCCTTCTCTTCTTTCTGAGGTTCAAGGCTGTTAGTTTCACTGCACCCCATCCCCCTTATCTGATGGAGCCACAGTTTAAAACTAGCAAAGTGCATTTCACATAAGATGGTCCTTAAGGCCTTAAGCCCAGTGCTTAAGGCCAAGGTTCTGATCCCTACTAAACAACAGACTAGGGCATGACAGCTTTACAGAAAGTCACTTGGGTACTTGTACAGTATTGTCATAATCTTTTCATTGAAGATGGGGAGATCTCAAAACTGTCCTGGAGATACGTAGCCTTGCAAAGTATCGAAAAAAATATGATTGCTGCCGGGTAATGAAGACTAAGTAGCATTAGGAGTGATTCTGTGAGTAAGGAATGTGGAATCCTGCATATATGGGTCTTAACATCGGGGATCCCACAAAAGTGGGAGGCAGTTTCATTAGGCAAGCTCTGGTTAAATAGGACCTCCTTTGCCATAGAATCTATGGACTAGATCCTGAATTTGGAGGTTGACTGTTCCTGCTTTCAGGGAAGGAAGAGTGTTTCTTGTTATGGACTGACTTTCTTTTCATCCATCATTCAATACTCTTTCAAACACTGTGCTGTTATTAACAAGTATGCCTTCTGGTTTGACCTAATTTCTAAATCCTGCAACATTATGAATTAACAGTATTCTGCATCAGGCACACAATCCTTTCTGAAAATGGTCTCCTTGACATGGGTTTACAATATATTTGGTACCTTATGAAGGAGTAGCTCCTTGAATTTTCTAAGTATTCTTGTGTGTTATCCATGCAACAAGCTATGCTGGCTGCTCTCAGCTCCCATGTTGTAGTGAGATTAAATTAGCATTGGCTAAATCAGGTAGGCAAACATGCACCGGCCCAGTACACCTCATCGGTGGTCCTGAAGTTATAATATTATGTATTTATATAAATAGACCTGGGGAAAGGCTCCAGTTTGGTATAACCTTGGATATTTTAATAGATGTATTCTGTACATACATGCTACACTGTATTGCCAAATTCCTGTAAATTTTCTTTTGTCATTTTTCAGTCTCCCTTCTGACATCAGCAACATAGTGTGTGGTCCAAACAGGGGTTCAGCCTGCACTCTTGCATTGATCTGCTCATGTTGTTGGTCTGCTGGTGTTGCTGCTATTTTTCTTTTTCTCTTGCTGCCTCTCCCCCCACCCCTTGCCCCCTTGCTAGCAGTGGGCAAATTCGTTGTGTTGGATGGCCTGTGAAACTGTTTGCCAGTTTGTGCAAAATTCCTAGCTGTTACTTGTTTATGTAGTGCTACTTGAACACTTGCTGCCTCCAGGATTCCAAGCTGGGAAGAGCTTTAATCAGCACTAATTCCAAAGTAACCCCTTTGGAGGTCCCAGGAGTCAATGGGAGAAAACCAGCCTCATTTAGACAAAAATCCCAAATCCAACCCTTAGCCTGTTTTGGTCAGTGTTCCAGGTGCTTGTTTTCAATGTGAAAGTCATTTAATTTTGAGTTTGGCTTCTTCTGGCGACATCTGTATGAAGTAGAGTTTGTAACAGTTCACCTCTTTTATTATATTCTACTACAGTTATTTATTCCCATTATTAACATTTTGACACAGCATTTGAAACTATGGCTATAAAACGATGTGATTTATTATGATTGGTGGTTGCCACAAACCCCAGCTATGCTTCTGTAAGTGCAGTGTTGGCAGACCACCAAACTTGGCATATGGTCTAAATTTGTGTTTTCACCCCAAGGACTCTGATTTTTGCTGCTTCCCAGCCGAGAATATTTGTTTATATCTTTTTTTGAGCACTGACTGAATGAGATAAAACCATGTGGTAAAAATCTGGATAACATGCAATAAAACTTTAAAACACTAATTTATTCCTAATTGAAACCTAATCAATTCCTCCCAAACATGGAAGAAGCAAAGGTATCAAAGGACTGAATGGGAGATGGCAGCAATTGTCATTCTGCTGCTAAAGAGCACAAGACATTCATCTGATTCAAGATGGCATTTTCAGTCCCCTCCTGCTGTGCTTGGCTAAATGGTAGTCAGTGAGAATGCCCAGCGAAGTGAACACAACTGCAAGTATTCCATAGTGAGGCTGATTTACTTTCTCATGCAGACCTACCCTTTGGTTTTTGACAGATAATCTGTTCATATGGAGATAATATCCCTTCCCAAATGATGTTCTCAAAATTCTAATCTGTCCAAGGACTTGCTTTAGTTGTAATGATTGACTAAAGTGGTAACCCCGCCTGGAATCAAGCTACCGTATTTACTCAATTTTGATGCTCACCTTTTTGACTAAATTACCTTCTCTAAATTAGGGTGCACATTAGATTTGCATAATATGGTAAATACTTTTTTGGATTTCAGGGTTTTGAAACTTGAGGTGTGCATTAGATTTGATGGTGCCTTAGACTTCCGTAAATACGGGCATATCTTTTTGTCTAATATTTGCCCTCTGAATGACCATAATTCCATTGCTATTTCCATGTAAAATAGGACTCCCCAATGTGTTGACTTACCACACAAGATTGAATTCTTGTGTTACTTCTTTGTGGACTTTGACTACTGTCCAGAACCGGTTCAGTAAGTCTCCTCTCCTTTACACTAATCAAGATTCAAGCCAATGTCTGCGTTCTGCATATTATCTACACAAAGCTTCTGCCTTGCCATGCATGGCTGGGGCCAGCCTGTCTGGTTCCATGCCACTCTTCCTGGGCATTATTATTTTTGATCTGCATCATGAGGACAGTTTTCTGCCTAGCCAGAGTCCCTTTTTAGCAGGCGTTTCTCTGAACTGTCATGTCAAACTCTCTGTCATCCCTCTCTGCTGGCCTCCTTTTATTATTTTAAGCATGACTCTTGGTGCAAAATATTGTAAAGGATTGTGTATTTTCTTTTCTAGGCATAATGGCTTTTGTGAGCTTTCTTTCCATGCATTTCCCTTTGCAGCTACTCCTGAGTATTTCCAACTGAAGGTGCCAAATACTTTAGCCTTTTCACTGTTGTGCAGTATTGGACAACAAATGTGTCCAGGAAGACTGGAGCCAGGTGAGAGAGGCAGGGAAATGTACCTCCCCATGCAGACATCTCTCTGGTGCCTATCTGTTTCTGCCCAACTGTGGATTTGCACAGACCCCTTCTTTATTTTATTTTTTAAAACCCTTTTAGGCTACTCATGTGGCCTTCCAGTATTCTCAAAAGCACTGGGTTATCAGACCCTCTCTATGCTCCATGGCAGGCTGCTCATTCCTACCAGGGAAAAAAAGTAGGCTGGAACAGACATTTGTGTGTGACCCCAGCCTATTCACTTAGACAGGATAGGCTGGAGAAGATGCTGGTGTGTGACTTTGAAAGCTGTGTACGGGGTTCAACTTGCACTTTAATAGTATTTCTTTCCCTTCCTCATAGAGGGAAAGTAATATGGTTTTCATGTTTACCCAGCATTAGCAATACACCCTCTGCTATCATTCTGGCTTTGATACTAGGCTTCAAGTCATTTCCTAGCTTGAACTCAGCCTTCTCATGTGCCACAATATCTCTTTCTGTAGAAGCAGGAGAGACTACATTTACTACTGTGAATAACTTCGGGTGACAACCTGTTAATGACGCTATCCAAGACCATGCCAGCCCCCGACATAGGATGTAAAGACATTATCTGCCAAGAGACAAAGTAGAATGGAAAGCATAATATACTGAGCTGTAGTCCTCAAGCCCTTGTTTTTAATCTTCCGTGAAAACAGTAATGATGAACGCAGACCTCCATATTTTAAAACCAGATGATGTCATTTCAAAGTACTACTACTATTCACCCCATAACTGGTCACTTCTGTTCTGAAGGGAACTTAGAAAAACTGCTCATGCCTTGCTAAGTCTGAACCAGGACATAGCTGGCCTTGGTTGGCACTGGTCTATTGGCACTTTTGAAACACACTTTTGTCCCTATGAACCTGTTTGCAATAAAAACATTTCTTTACTATTGGGGGAGTATGTATTGCATCAAAACAATTGCCACTTTTAAAAAATAACGGGCTTCCTGGTACATGAAATGTATGATAAATAAGAGAACGAGATAGACTTCCTTGTGAAGCAAATCACTCCTCCAGCATTATTAAAGTTGTTGCCATGAACAGGCAGTTGCAAAATAAGTGAAAACAGCACTGTGGGTACTCTAAAACTGTGCTGCTGGTCTTTCTTTAATGCTATTATATCCCTATCTTTTCACTGTTCGAAAGGTTGGTGTGCTTTTAAAAATCATGATGATGCTGGGGGGGGGGGGGGGGGGGGGGGGGGAGTGGAGACCTGATTTTTGTGGAAGCCAGAAGGATGATCTTGCTGAGGATTTGCTTCAGCAAAGGCATTGAAGGCATGCACTGTTGCTTCTCACTCTTCCTATAGGCTGAGGCTGTAATGATGGGAAGGAGATTTTGGTGATAATGACATTGGACAGGAATGCCATTGCAATGAGGGGCTTGAGGAAGAAGGGGGTTCACCTGGGAACAGGTTGGTGATTTAAGAGAAGGAAAAGTGAATTCAGACGAGATGAGTTTTGTTTAGACAGAGGTAGACAACAGTATTTTCTTCTACATCCTTTTTTACTTTGGGTTGAAAATATATCTGGAATTAAGTATGCTATAACTGCAAGAATGCCAAATTAAAGCCCATCTTAGGGTAAAAGAAGCCCCCCTCTCTGGGATAGTAGACACATTCATGCATACCGTTCCACAAATTGGTACCAGTAGGGGTCAGATGTGCATCCAAGAGTTGTGGCAGATTTATTTCACTATGTCAGCTGGTTCCACTGTTTTTAGTTTGTGATTTTGAGGTGAATTTCAGGAATCACCACCCCAAAGTAAAAACCCTGAGTACTTTTATATGCACATTTTTTTATATGACAACATGCCTGGAAATCCCAAAGCAACAATATAGTCATATGCATTTAAAAGTATAAAGAATTTTTACTGTTGGGGTGGTGGTTCCTGAAGTTCACCTCAAAATCAGAGACCACTCAAGAACAGTGGAGCTAGCTGGTGTAATTAGTGAAACAAATCTGCCACAATGCTTGGTTGCACCTCTGGGCTCTATTGGTGCCAACTTGTGGAGCAGGCTGCATGATAGGATATAAGATTTGGAGGATCAAGGTGGGGGGGGGGGGGGGGGGGGGATATGCCATGAATTGCCAAATTTGGCCTCTGTGGCAGAAGTGGACCTATTCCTATTTCATCTTTGTATATTAGTGTACCCCATAGTCTGTGCAGCTAGACCACTCACTGCTAATAAACATCCATCTGCTTCTGTCCAGGAGGAACATGCAGGTTACACTGTGTTTGCTTTCCAGGTTGATACCTTGATCTCCTCACTGCCCCAACTGTTCCTGAAATCATGTATTTTCTGTAACTGTGTCCCTGTGTCCTCTTCTCTGCTCCTAGTAAGTTCCATTCTTTCTAGCCAATGCCCGTTTTAAAACAAATACTGTTGTATAAAATATCTGTAATTTTCAAAAACAAAATAAACTATTTACACTGTCTTAATAATTCTGTCACAGGGCTTGGACGGGTGGGGCCAGTTCAAATCACTGAGAGAAATGTGTTTGCCAACTCCAGGTTTGTGCCAGTATTTGCAGTGCAAAGGAGTCAAGTGCTAAATTATAGATACTACCTGGAGGCCAATAGGTATATGTTGTTCACAAAAGTCTTTATAGCAACATAGCAAACCTAGAGTAATCTCTCATTTTGAAAGATCACATAGAATCCATGTAATATAACTGGCATTTTAAAAAAGGCTAATCTGTGTACTTGCTGGACTATCTTAGAGGTGGGAAACCTACAGTGTGGAAGACCAAACCTGCCATCATGTGCGTCGCCAACAGCTGATGGGTGTTGGTCTCTCAGTATCTTTCAGTAGGCCAAAGGTTCTCTGCCCCTACTAGCCATGCAAATTAAATTTCCTTTTATTGCTGTGGAGTTGTAGTTTTAAGTGGAACTGATAATTTACATATACACTATGGAAAAAATGCACCAAGGATCACATGTAAGATGCCGTTTACTTTTCTCTCTCAAAAATCCTTAAGTACAGTAATATAGCCATTAATAGTCTGCCCTTGTCAATCAAGCTTTTGCAAAACAGCCAACGTAAGGTCTAGAATTTTAATTGAAAAGCACCCACTAAAAGGCCGTAAGAAAGCATTTCTGCTAGCTGAAATAATTACAGTGAACTTTTGCGTATCTGCTGGTACATCATTTGCAAGGTAGCTTACCAGATAAGCAGGCACGCACACTGTCCAAGTATGCTTAAGTTTAAATTTTGGTTTTTGGTAGTGATTTTTGTCAGGAAGTTAAAGAACCAGTGCTTCAAAGATAAATGAAAGTTAGAATCTTTAAATACAGATTCACATTCATGCAAAGAGCACAGATTTAGTAATAAAGTCAGATAACTAAAACTGCCAAGTGTCATTTAGTCCAGATTCCTCCACTGGGAATGGCAGCCCGCAGACATACCTGAGCCTTTTGTCTTCTCTCACATTGTATCAGTTGGCAGCTTCAGAATTTACTCGTTTAGAGAGAGCATGAGGGTATGCAGAATAGTACGATATTGATTAAAAGATGGGTGTTAGGCTGATATCTTCATAGGTGCCTTTTGTATTGAGGGGGAAACACAGCCAGCTGTGCTGAAACAAATGCTTGGTCACAAGCAAAACACAACTTGAAACTTATAAAACAGACATACGGCCAGCTTGAATGAAAATACATCATGGTTGATGGTTGTCCTTTAGTTACCCCCTTTCCTCATTAGAATACCAGAACTTTGTTTCTTTTAACTTTTTTACATCCAGCTAACTGTATTCCTTAAGGCATGGAACCATATGCAGGGTCAGCTGCAGTCAGAGCTGAGGATACTTCTGGGGACTTTGGAATGGCTGTTTCTTCTGGACCTGTCAGGAAGAAAAGAGAAAAGATGCAGGGGCATTACTTCTATTTCCCCATCTCTTTTCTTCATGCTTTGTTGTTTACCCACCCTTTGCTCTTTGCATATTTATCTAAGCACGAGCATGCTTTAAAACTTCCCCAACATCCTTACACCTTACACCATACTTATGCACAGGATGGAGGCTGTTCCTTCAACTTGGAGGTGAAACAGCCACTGGGCTGACAGGGGAGATCCCTGGCACAGCTCTGTATGTGGCCGAGGTCCAGCTGCTCTTACACCCCGGGGGGGGGGGGGGGATGCAGCTCCCACCAACTCCAACATAAGGCTGCTTCTTCTTCACCAGGTGCACAAAGGATGCCAAAACGATGAGTGCTCACAACTCATCAGTAGCTAGAGCCAGGGAACTTCCTTTGCGGCTCTTGCCAATTTGGGGAACAGCATTGCTAAAAGAGGCACTAGATACCTCCTTCTACAATTCCTTGTGTACTTTCAAGTAATCTCTGACTTATGGTGATAGTTAAGTGAATCTATCACAAGGGTTTTTTGTTTTTTTTGGCAGAATTTGTTCAGATAGGATTTGCCTTTGCCTTCCTCTAAGGCTGAGAGAGCATGACTTGCCCAAGGTCACCCAGTAGGTTTGCATGGCTGAGTAGGGGTTTGAAGCCTGGCCTACTCTGTGCAGGCTCTCTCTTCTACAGCCCCTCCCCTCAAAATGTACATATTCTGGACCAATAGTATACACATTAGGCTGGCCTCCCTTCTGCAGATTCCTCCCCCCACCACATCCTGCAAAAATACATGCACATGGTTATACCTACTGACTATTTATCCAAAATGCTTGAGACTAGAAGTGTTTTGCAATTTGAATTTTGGGGGGATTTTGAAATATTTCTATTTGCATGTACATACTTAAGGAGATAGCTTGGAGTTGGGCTCCATGTCTAAATATAAAATTTCTAGTTAATATACATCCCCTTGAGACAATATTTTAAATCTTGTTTTGCACAAGGCAAGGTTTGTGTACACTGAGTCATTAGAAAGCAAAGGTCCCACTATCTCAGCCATGCATGTGGATAATTTTGGCATATTGTAGAATTCCAGGTAAGAGATTCTCAACCTGTACTAACTTATATCTCCCAAAAGATTACAGCATACATATTGGCATGTTTTCCTGCCAATAAACATAGGGACAAAACTAAACCAGCTCAAAGGTACAAGAATCATGGTTTGGAAATTCTGGTCCTTCAGCATTTGCCATTCTTTCTTTTCTCCTCTGTATGCTTCAAGGGTGCACCATGGATGGTTCATGCCAAGCAGAAAGAAATCATTTTTCTGTATGGTAGAAACTACAACAGTCAACAATAAAACCAATGAATGTTTGCCCACACAGATATTCGCTAAAGTGGTCAGCAGGGACAGAAATTGGTACGGCTCAGAATCCCTGAATCTAAGGGGAAGGCTTTCCAAAGGCCAGCAGTCCACCTCACCTCTCTCAGCTGCCATCTGACTTGTCTTTGTGATAGTTGCCTCACCTAAGAGTTCAAGGCAGGCATTAAAGTCTAGAAATTAATGCTCCTAGATTTCATTGTTTTTTTAAAAGGCATGAAAATGCATGAGTTCTTTGTCTGCTAAAACAAACAAAAAAGCCAGTGGATGAGTGTCAACAATTTGATAGGTGCACCAATCCCACTTCCCACTCATGATTTCCACTCTCTGTCACAAATATCACTGTTTATCCTTTTTATCCTCCCATGCGTTCCACTTCTTTTCTCTCCATAGTTGGGTGCACAGACATTGACAAATACGATTAGACAAAGAAAGCACTTTGCTCTACTGGTCATAATAAGCTGGACATCAGATGTGCCAGACACCTAATCCCCTCCATGGCATAGGCTCAAGCATGGCTAGACCATTGATTCCAATCTCTATGCAAGCTGCTTGCACCACAGATCCTCTAAGAGCCCTGGTTCCATTATCTGGCCCTCACAGGAACCCAGCTGCAAGGAAAACTTTCACTCAGACACTTCCTCAAACTAGTTCCATGATCTGCCAAATCAAGCTTAAGTACATCAAACTGCATAGCTATTTAATCATTCTTCCCTGTTTATCCCTGACTCCTTCACCTGATGTTTCCCTTGTGCCATATTTTATACTGTAAGCAAGGGTTTCTCAAACTATGCTCCTCCAGGTGTTTTGAACTTCAACTCCCAGAAATCCCAGCTGTTAGGAATTGTGGAACCTGAAGTCCTAAATATCCGGAGGAGCACAGTTTGAGAAACGGGTAGGGGGACAGGGAGTTGGACTAGTTGACCAATGTGGTCTCTTTCAACCTAACTGAATTTATTCAATTTGCACATTGCATGCCTCCTTCTCTGATGGGCATTGCTCTACTCTGTTTATTACTGGTTTTAAATAGTCTGATTTAAGTGAGAAAATATTCAATGCACTTTTAGTCTTCTAAAATGATGGTTCTTGTTATTTGTCTTAAATCGATTTAATGACACGCTGCCCTAAGATCTTTGGATATTGCTTATTGTGTGTGTTCAAGTAGTTTCTGACATATGGTAACCCTATCCTGGGGGTTTCTTGTCAGGGTCTAAGCATTGTCTTCCCTTGGGCATGAGAGAGAGTGAGTTGTCCAAGGCCAGACAGTGATTGAATAGAGATTCACACCCAGGGCACCTGGATTTCTAGTCTACTATACCATGATGCCTCTATTTGATATAAGCAGTATGATGTAGTGGTTTGAGTGTTGAACTACAACTGTGAGAGATCCGGGTTCAGTACCTCTTTCAGCCATGAAACTCCACTGAGTGACCTTGGGCAAACCACACACTCTCAGCTTCAAAGGAAGGCAATGGCAAATCTCTGAATAAACCTGGACAAGGAAATGCTAGGGTCACCATAAGTCGGAGCTGACTTGAAGGCACATAGGAGGGAAATACCATAATCCTGTCATTCTTGGGGAAGCTGAATCTTATAGGTCCAATTGTATCCAAAGCTATACCAAGTTTGTGAATGAAAATACACTTCCTTGGGTTTTTCCAAATACATTAATAAACAGACAAGAGAGGGTTCTGTAGAAACTGAGATTATCCTCTTCACCAAATCATAGTCTACAAGGGCCATCACATGTTTGCCATGCACACAACTAAAGCAATTAAAAAGATGGCTATCCAGTTGCTTCAGCCTCATACCTACTTGTCTGGGAATGAATGAACCAAAGTCCACCAGTAAGGGATAAGCCAATGATGAAAGCTGAAAAGGCAATGCCAACTACAGCTGGGAGTTCTAGGCGTGGGGCAACTGCTGCTGCAGAGAGGGGGGGGGGGGAATACATAGAGAAGTAAGTAAAAAGAAATTATGTGCCTGCTTTATAGCCCCCCAAAAGAGTGAAATAGAATGATGTCCCATAACTGGGGCTCTTGCTACACCCCAGCTCCAGAAGCATGTAGAAAAAGGCTTCATGCAGAGCTGACCCTACCATACATGAGGCAGCCATTCAGTCAGAAGATTTGGGTTGTTGTGAAATGACAGCAAAAAAAAAAAAAAATCCCCCCCCCCCCCATTTTTACAGCCATGGAAAGGGAGACAGGGATTTTGCATTTTCAACCTCATGTTCAGTTTCATAACTTTTGCCTCATGCAATCCAAAATAATTTGGTTGGCTTTAGGTACTGTGTACCTTGCTTTAAATGAGAAAACCACCATTGGCTGTTCTGTCCCATTCAGCAAAATATCACTTTCAGCCTACACTACTGGACTTTTCTTTGACTCCACTCCTCCCAGAGCTAAAGGTGGATTCTGGGTTGAGGAGGTTTCCCATTCTCTTTGTCTCAGGGAGGTTAGTGAAAGAGGATAGCCAAAATATACTTACTTGGGATGGGTTGCACATTTTTCCGTGGTTTTCCTTGCTGGTTGGGTAGGAAATTATCTATAGAAAGGGGGGAAAGGAGAAAGGGGGATTCAAGAGAATGCTTGCTGAAGAACAGCCATAAGAAAAAGACAGTTTTATTTCAAAAGGTTTATATCCTGCCTATTCTCCAGCAAGACATAGGTAATTAATAACAAAGACTTAAAAATTAAAACATTCCTCTATAAAACAGCATCCCTCCGTGAGTTAGGAAAAATCACACAACACAGCACAAGATCTTTTTTTAAAAAAAACAGACACTTAATTCTGCACAGCAAATCTCAGCTTCTCAGCATAGGTTTGTTTTTTCTGTATCTGGAGCGATTTGCTTCTACTGGGAGAGAATTGGCTGTCTGCAAGGATATTACCCAGGGGACACCCGGATATTTTACCATCCTGTGGAAGGCTTCTCTCATGTCCCCATGTGGGAAGCTGGAGTTGACAGACGGGAGTTCATCCGCTCCCTGGATTCGAACCACCGACCTTTTGGTCAGCAGTCCTGCCAGCACCAAGGTTTAACCCATTGCACCACCGGGGGCTCCTCAGCACAGATCATTGGCAAACCCTGAGTCTGTAGCTTGTTGGGGTCAGATATTAAAGTCAGTCTCACTCATGCCAGCCCCATCTTCCATTTCCTGATAAAGTAGAAGCAGATGCAAAGGGCACTCTTTTAGAAATAATATTTTCTGCTATATACCCTAATGTTGAAATTAGACATGGTCAGATCCAGTTAATATCTGGATGCAAGACTGCTGGAGAATGCCAGGGATCTAAGATAAGAAACCTGCCTTGAGTTCTTGAGAATGGCTGTTGCAAGTCAAGAGTTGACAACACAAAGCTAGGTGGGCCCATGACCTGACCTGACAGCCCCCTATGCTTCTATGTAACTGTGAGCATAGTCCCTCCTAGCCAGTTTCTTGAATCCTTGTCAAACCTCTTACCTACCTTGTCTCAAATCTGGAGTGGCAGCTCTGAGTGGAGTTTTCACAGTCACAATGATGGGCTTTGTGACAGTGCGCTGGAAGCGAGCACTGCCCGGCTCCACTTCTCTCTTGCAGGCCTCCTTTTCTGTTGGGCACTTAAACATAAATCAAAAGATGCTCATCCCAGGAAAAGAAAACAGCCTGGACCCAGATCCCACTCCCTTCTTCCCAAGAAGCTCAGATCTCTCATTTATGCATGGAGATTCCCAGATTAACCAGGAGGACTCCAAGCTCACTCCAGACAGCCTTCACTTTGTCCAAGTAGTGTCACCATGGTCTAATCCTATCGACTCATTTATTAGTTTGTTATTTCCGTACATACTCCACATGGCTCCCCTTACCACTCACTTTATCTTCATTACAATCCTCCATTACAGAATGTATTGGGTTTTATTAGGGGAGGGTATATCACATGATCCAAGGCCAGTTTCATGGTTCTGTGAGAAGTACAACCTGGACCACCATCACCACCTCCAGCCTCTATCCAGCACTAACTACGAACACACTATTTCTTAGGCAGCACCTTTCCATCCCAAGGGAAGGGATGCTTCTAAGATTGTGAATCAAACCATGGTTCAGTGGTAGAATACATGCTTTCCATACAACTTCACCCCCCAACATCTTTTGGTAAGAGGAACATGTTATGGGAAAAATTCTGCACACAACTAGAATGAATATCCTGTCAGCCTGACTTGGTACGGGCAAGTTCTCACATAAAGATTTCCCATCGAGCAGCAAGTCTAAAATAAACAGATATGAGGTAGGGAAAGTGCCACCAGATAGCAACTAGAGATCTGTGTTCCCTTGCCTGAGGAACCAGAGACCTTTGGGATTGGGTCCTTGGGCTTGCTGGGATCCCAGCGCTCCCTCCTGCAGAGCACCAGGTGGCAGTGCAGGAAATGAATAGAGTGGTTGGAGCGGGGCTGGAGCACAAAGCTCAGCCGCCTGCGCTCCTGCTGGCCTGGAGGCAATGCCTGGCCCAGGGCTGCCTGCTCCAACTCTGACATGTTGACATGGGCATCAACAGCACAGCCGTGGTAGATCAGCAGGTATGGAAAAACCACTGAAGAATCAGAAGAGGGAGAGATGAAGCATCGCTGGATGGTGAAGCCAAGACTCAAGTCGTAGGATGCCAAGGAAGCCTGGAGAAAAACAAGCTGCAATTATCCATGAAGCTCAAGTGTGCCCGATTCTCAAAAAAAAGCTGGAAAAAAAAAGAGAGAACAACAATGCTGGAAAATGCAGCTGTTATTGCACCACTACATCCAATTATGTTTAATAGATTTTGCTTGATAGGGGTCATAAGCCAAAGGGCAGCCAATTCCTCCAGCTCTTCTCAAAGGTGTCATCAGGTCTGCTACACAATCTCAGCACTTTGTTATTGATGCATAATGGATGTTGTAGGAGGCTTCCTGTCTGAGGAAGTTGAGTACTGAAACAATGGATTAACCCTTTTCTTGCATAGAAAACAGCCTTGTGACTCAACCTCCTAAAGACCTCATCACACTAGAGAATGAATCCACTTTAAATCCGGTTTCTGCCTCCTGGAGAATTGTGGGGTTTGTAGTTTAGAGGAGCCTTTAACAGCTTGAATAAACTACAAACTCCACAATTCTGCAGGAGACAGAAACTAGGTTTAAAGTGGATTCATTCTCTAGTGTGATGAAGTAGTAAGTCCTTCAGCCTCTGAGATCCCTCTACTATCACCAAAATCTCATAGAAGTGGTTTCTCCTGGGTGGAATTAAAATTACTATTATGGGGCAGAATTGTGTGTGCTGTTTACAGTAATATAAACAACACCTGCATTAAGATAAACTGAATTCAGTGATACAGTATTCTGCAAAATCTCTCTGCTTCTGTGAAATCACAACGCACATTTGCTTTTTTAATATGATGTTTCATGGTTTTCCCTGAATACATATTCCTTTCTTAAATTGCTTCTTTTGTCCTGATACTTTAGTACACTCAAAAATTTCCATTGCCTACCAAGCAATTAACATTTTATTCTTTGTGAATGGTTACACAAAAATATGGTAAATATATAGCTGGGACATCCAGCTCCTGTCAGATACTTCTTACAGTGTCTTTAACAGTTGACTAGATGATGGATGCTAAGAGGCAAGAGTGTAATGTAACAAAGCTGCAAGAACTTCAACAAGTGCATCATTCAGAGTTTACTCATCAACAAAATTAATATTGCAGGAGGACTGAAACTGAAGAGGTGGCCTATCTTGCTATTTTTCCAGGTGTAAAATGAAGGCTTCTGTATCAAATTTGTTGAAGCCATACCTGGGCCTACAAAAAACAGCACTGACTTCCTGCGTGAGAAATGCTCCCTGCTATGCTTAACAGGCCTTTGCAAGAGCCAGCCACAGTTATAATTGACATCTCTACAAAAGCTGCACGGAAAACAAATGCCCCACTGAGACTTTTGGAGGAGGCAGAGAGAAGGGTAAGAGCCAAAATCAGTTTCAGATAAGTCCATTACTCACTAGAGCCAAAGCCAAAAGGGTGGGAACAGAAAGAACAGTATATTTTAGCCTAAAACTCTTATTGGTACTACCTAAACCTTAATAGAGAGATTTCGGTCTTCTAGAATGGAGAGAAACCCATACAAATGCTGAGAAACTGCTAAGGGATGGCATCATATGAAAAGGAATGTTGTCTTCTGGGAATGCCTGAAGGACATATGCAACATATGCCTAAACTTCTGTCCCCTGCGTTCCCCCCACCCCCACCTAGGACAAAAGAAGCTTACTGATTTGGGCTCATTTATGGAAAGAACTCAAAAACCTAGAATCTGTTTCGAAGCCAATTCCTGCAAGGTACAAACATAAGCTTTACCTCTACAAAGACCCGGCTGTTTGCTGAGACTGTACAGGGTCCTGGCTGCTTGGCAAAAGACTCTGAGTTGTAAACATCTAGGTTGAGCAGGACATTACCATGGCTGAAGGGAAGATCCTGAAAGGATATCGTGGCTTCTGGGGAAGAGGTCCGGTTTGGAGGTGATGAGGCAAAGGAGACCTGCATGAGAAACACCAGCCTATATGGGCTGTTGATGTACAGCAGTAACCATAATGGCATCCAAGTTAAAGGTCAGCTTCTGAGTAGAAGCTTCAGGGTATTTCTAATCTGCATTAAGAAGAATAAAGCTCCGAAAGAGAACTCAGAATGCTAATGGCCGAATCTGGAATCGAAAGAGACCCTGGCTCCATTTCCAGCACCTCCAATGTAATGACTATTGGGTGACAATGCTAGCAGAAGCCACAGCTTGGTATACAGAAGAGCCACTGTGCAAATAGGAAATCTTCAGTAGCAAGCAAGACCAGCCTTTGGCACTGTCTAAAAGCCATTTTAGATGCTCACGCAGTCTCATGTCATGGGAATCCTCAATGGTGGGAGAAAGTCTCTCCAACCACTGTATCACCTTAATTGTTTTAACTTATTTGAGTTGTGTTTTCAAAAGGTTCGATGCCACCCTGAATTGTCTGCCTGAAGAGAGGCAGGATACTAAATAAAACAAAGAAATAATGCCACACTTTAAGAAACCAAGGCCCCTTCTACACAGCCATATAGTAATCCAGATTATCAAAGTAGATCAATCCACATTATCTGCTTTGAACTTGATCATATGAGTCTACACTGGTGGGCGATTGGTGGGGACGAGAGACAATGCCTTCTTGGTGATTTCTCCCCGGCTATGGAACTCCCTTCCTGGTGAGATCAGGATGCCCCCTCTCCCTCCTGTCCTTTAGAAGAATGGTAAAAACTTGGCTGTGGGACCAAGCTTTCAGGACAGGGCAATAAAGCGGCAATAGGAAAGATGACCAGGCCAATGATTTGACGTGGATGACTAGGACGGTTTTAAATGGTGTATTTTAATATTTTGATAAATGGTTTTTTAATGTTTATGTATGTGTATGTGAATTCGTGTCCCGGCATTGAATGTTTGCCGTGTATATACTGTGCTCTGCCCTGAGTCCCCTTCGGGGTGAGAAGGGCGGAATATAAATGTTTTAAATAAATAAATAAATAATAATCTGGTTCAAAGCAGATCCTAGGGATTTTATATGGCAGTGCAGAGTCTACCAATCTGGTGTTAACAAGATGGAGTACTCACTTTCTGAGCGCCCCTTTTTTCATTAAAGGGTTTCTGCTCCACAGTAGGATGCGGGGTAGATTCCACTCCCTCTGTTTTAGAAATGGGCAGCAGAGGAATTGCAGAATGGCCTTCTTCTGAGATCTCTGGCCTTCCTTCCCTGGCTGCTACAACAGCTTCTGGAAACTTCTGTCTTTTGACTGAGAGTTTTGAGGGAGGCAGAAACAATGGCCAGAAGAGCGTAGGATCTGCTGAAACAGCAGCTGGGGTCTCTATAAAGAAATAAGAGATGTGCAAAGGTGATGCAGCCAGGGAAAACATATCCAGCTGTTCCTTGCTAGACAGAAGATGAACTCTCCCACCTCTTCCTCAAATGGCAGGTGTATCAGTTCTGGTAGAAAAATGGAATAATTTCTATCGACAAAACTAGAGACTTAACAAAAATATCAGTATTTAGCAACACTGTTTTTAAAAGGAAATGTCTTAGTAATTCTCCCCTTCCTGTTTAACTGCATGGCTGTTAAGCCACTTCTTTGTTGTCTTAAAAAATTTCAACAAAGTTGTGTTAAGTTATCTAGGCCTTGGGAAAATAAATCCAACTTTGCTGGTTGGTATTTCTAGAGCTGAAGGGGGAGTCTTTGGCAACTGGACAGAGAAGTCTCTCTAAGCAGCTTAGACACAGTCTAGGACAGTGGTTCTCAACCTCTGGGTCCCTATGTGTTTTGGATTACAACTCCCAGAAATCCCAACCAGTTTACCAGCTGTTAGGATATCTGGAAGTTGAAGGCCAAAACATCTGTGGACCCACAGGTTGAGAATCACTGCCCTAGACTGTGTCTAAGCTGCTTAGAGAGGCTTCTCTGTCCAGTTGCCAAAGACTCCCCCTTCAGCTCTAGAAATATGAACCAGCAAGATCTAGGATTAGCGAGTCGGGAAAAGGTTCAGACTGATAGTGGCTGCCTATGACAATTATTTTGTGGGGGAAGCTTTATACAAAAAAGTGGGGCCACTAATAATCTCTCCCTCTCTACCATCCATTTCATGTCTCCTCATAATATAGTGAAATAAAAAAAATGGGCCACTGGCCTCAACAACACAAAAAATCATTCCTTTTCCCATTGCAGTAACAGAAAGACAGGGAGCTACATTCTGGCTTCCTCTCCCCCCAGTAACACATTCAGAGTGAAGGAAATATGCCCTGTGATACTATCATGTCATCGGATCTCACAGATTAAACTCTCTGTCCCTCCTGGGCACACAGAAGACTGGGTGACTTGGAAGGCGCTGAACAGACTGCGCTCTGGCACCACGAGATGCAGAGCCAACCTTAAGAAATGGGGCCACAATGTTGAGTCCATGACATGGGAGTGTGGAGAAGAGCAAACCACAGACCACTTACTACAATGCAGCCTGAGCCCTGCCACACGCACAATGGAGAACCTTCTTAAAGCAACAGCAGGGACGCTCCAAGTGGCCAGCTTCTGGTCAAAGGACATTTAATATAATGCCAAGGTTTCAAACCTTGTGCTTTTTAAATACATTACAACTGTACCCTCGGTTTGCTACTGATACGATAAATTAATAAATCAGATCTCATCAGTTAGTGCACATGGCACTACTTTATTCGCTACATGTTTCCTTATGGCTGGGATCCCACAGCAGCTGTGAAAAAAAGCACCAGATAGAGTTGTGAACTAAATAGGTGAAGGGCATTTTAGAGTCCTTGAAAATAAACTTCTCATGCTGGAGATTTTTAAAAATGGAAATGCCTGATGCATGTCCTAAAGTAAAATTTATATGAGTCAGGATTTATCAGGAATAGCTCCAGACAAAATGACACAAGAAAAAGTAGAGGATGACATTCCAGGACTGGTTAATCATACAAATGCTTAAAAAAGGATGGCAAGAACATATAGTGAACACTGTTGATATGTTCCCGACCTCTTGAGTGGCTCTTTTTGCAATTTAGGCTCCTTTAAATCCTCCATGTTTCACCTACCATTCATCCCAACCACAAGGAGAAACCTGTTCACCCGCTCAGCCTCAGTATAGGATGTGAAGGCAGGCAGCTTCTGCTCTGCTGCGTACTGCAAGGGATCCCTGATGAAAGCCAACTTGGAGGACACCTCCTGGGTCACAATCAGAGGTGGCTCTGCTCCTGTGCTGCTGACAATAACTTCGTGTGAAGCCTGGAAAGAAAACCAATCCCAGAGCACATATAAGACCATAAGCCAAAAGGGCCAAAGGGCCAGGGAATTAAGCAGTAACCTCTAGACAGGCTTCTAGGAGGACAGCACTGTCTTTCACCAACTGGGGGGCGGGGCGGGGGGTGCAGAAAGCAAGCAAAGAATCTGGGCAGCACTCCTTGGCTCACTATAGCTAAGTGTGTGACGTTCTATCTAGCCAAGGGAAAGGAAGCAATAGATAGTACTAGAAGAAGATTGCATTATAAGAGAAGGGTTATGACCAGGTTGCAAGTCTACATGCACATTTAGGTGTGATTATTGACATACACAAATGCACAAATGTAGCACTGCAGTCCTTGGCTAGGGAAGAGGGACTTCTATTCACCTAAGGAGTTCAGAAAACTGTGGATGGCCAAGATCCTATCCATACCAGTATGTGCAGTTGGCCAGTAAGGTGGTGTGCCTGAACTCTCCACTGGGCAGCTCCTTCGCTCTTCAGTATCAAGAGCAGCCCCTGGCGTGGGGATCTTTGGACACCATGAAGCTCCACAGTCAGATGGGCCAAGCTGGACCTAGAAGAGAGCATACCACGATTCCCACCATCAATATTAGACCAAAGAATGAAGCACACAGCAGAGGCAAAAAGACTATGTCTCTAAGCACAGTTAAGAAACACATTAGATAATGCTTCCTCTATCTCTGCTATAATAGCAGTGGCTATCTGCCACCTGACCGCAGTCTCTACCTTTGATCTTAGAGACTTTTAGTTTACACCATATTCATTTGTAATGTCAAGTCTTGTTTGAAAGAGTTTATCATATACATGTTTCTCTTCACACGCATCCTGTTTGATTCCCGAGTCAGTCTCTTCCTCTTCAACAGGGCAAACGGTTTCAGCTTTCTGCATATTTCCCTTATCATAATGTGTTATGCTTCTTACACATTCAGCTACAGATTCCCATAGGCAAACTCTAGCACACACCTCGGAGCAAGTCCTTTAGAGAAGATGATGTGAACTTCCAGGTCCTGGGGAGGGTGAGAATTCAGGCAGACCTGCAGAGGCTGATGTTGGCGCTTAGAGGCAAAATGCAAGGAAGAGAGGAAATTCCTCTGCAACTTGCAAGTGGCGGGTGCAGCAGCATCTGAAGGAGAAAGGCCAGGAAGGGAGAACTGGGGTAGCCGCAGGGCTGTAGGAGACTTTAAGCATGACAAACTGTGATCTAATTCAGGAAGGACATCAAGCAGGCCTCACAGCTGGAGCAAATCTTTCCATCCTGTTCTTTGTTTGCGTAGCAAATGTCACTACAGGATCACTCCCTCCTACCTTCCTTTCCACTCACACACCTTAATCCCAGATACAGATACAGGGACAGAGGACTTAAACCTCTGCATAATAAGTGGATGAGAATACTCCACATGCAGAACTTGGAACAGTTCCTTTTTAACATTACAACTGGCTACTGAGTGGTCCCGTGAGTTATGGAGCAAACAAGTAACTTTTCCAAGCTCTGACACTGGATGTGTTCCTCCTCATCCAAAAGGTTATGCCTCCTGACCTACTTGCTTGAAAGACTATTCTTCAAAACTGGTGCCCCCTCCCTGACTTCCTAATACAAAACTGGCACAGGCTTACAGTGCCCCCTTCTCTCCCCTCCTTGCGCATACCATTCCCCAGGATGTAGACAGTGTTGACTCCATGATACTCAGCCAGAGATGTGACCCCTCCATGCTCCCTCCGTGCCCATTTGAGCAGACCTCGGGGTGCCTCTGGAAAGCTGGTCTCCTCAGTAAAAGCCCCTGGCTCAGGGGCTAAAACACTGGAACCCGGGGAGACCTGCAGAAAGGAAGGAAAGAAGGTTCAAGGATATTGACCTGGCAGACCTGGCCCCTCTCTGATATCCCAGGCCAAGAGACACTAAGGAGAAGCAGTGTTCTAGTTTAACATGGAAGATATGGTTTCAAGTTCACTTCAGCAATAGACTTACTGCGTCACAAGCCTCTCTAGCCTCAATTCCCCCATCCGTAAAATGGGAATAACAGTAACTTACTGCATAGCGTGGTTCTGAGAACAAACAAGGTTAGACCATAAAACAAGTTGCATGTGTTCAGAGTCTTAGCCAGGCAATGGGTGGATGTGTTTCCCACTCTTTCCACGGCATGCAGCTATTGCTCTTTGACCTCAACCATTCCCTTAGGAATCGCTGAGCAATTCCAATAGTACTTTTGGGTTCTTCTGTCCAATAACCATTCTCACCTGGAAGGTCCATTTTTTCCCAGGAGGAGATGACAGCATCCAGAGCACAGGCTCTTGGGACTGCAGCACAAAGATGGGGGCTCCATCCTTTGGCTCAGGATTCAACACAAGAATGACCTAAAATGGAGTTAAGCAGCCAAGCAATTAGCTTTCTCCAAAAACAAAGGAAAGGGAGAAAGCGTGAGAAGAGAAAGGGAATGGGAAAGACACCAGTCAGAAAAAATGGCTGGTACAGAAAGAAGGGTACAGTGAATAGTGTCTGACCTAGGTGATGTTCAATGTGAAATCCAGTCCTGAGCCCTCTTTCATCAGGGATGAGTAACTTGCATCTCTCCAGATGTTATGAGACTACAACTCCCACTAACACAACCAATGATGAGAGATGATTGGAGCTGAAGTCCATTAACATGTGGAGGATCATATCAATATTGAAGTGGATGCTGCTCTGTGCTTCAGGCAGACTGACTAAGTGAAGGCACTGATGAACAGGCGTATCTATCCTATCCCATCCCTTCATCCTAATCCTTCTGTGACCCAGGTGCGTCTGAAGGTGCTGTATAAGATTACCATTTTTCCAAATTGGCTTAGTAACTGTGAAATCTTCCACTGAAGCAAGCTTTCTGCTGGATCTCCCATAATGCTTTTCCTATTGCAATCATCTTGAGAGCAACCTTTATAAAACTGGGATGTCCAATAATTTCTCCAGCCCCAGCTGCCATCTTGCCCTCTCACAATGCAACAAAAGAGGAAACCATTGGCCCATTGGCCTCAGCAATACAGGGATCAGTCCTTAAATTCCTGCACTATGGGGTTGGATATGTCTGCAGCAACACACTGACACGCACACTACCTGGGCATTCATTGGCATCCCCCTGTGCAGGCTGACAATGTGTACTTCTTGCCCAGTAGAAGATCGCTCTTGACTGGAGCACCCAGTGCCTTTTCGCAGCAGCTCCCAAAATCCCTGCACAGGTTGTGGGGTGGAAGCAGACAAGGGGAGACATGTGGGGTGTGGCCAGGTTTCTGCAGAGAGAAAAGAAACTGATTTTGCTTATGGGCAATTTGATTTGACTATGAAACATAAATTGATGGTGATTTTGCATTTATGAACACTTGTGTTTCTCGATGACTGATTTGGCTCTAATCCAATTGGCAAAGTACCATTCAAGTTTGCTATTAGAAGGAATGATTAGACTGGCCAACACGCATTTTGCTGCCTCAAATGTTAGATTTGTTTCTGGGTAAGTCTGGCCTGCTGATTTCAAAAAGGCACCAGTTTCCCCCTATGAGCTCTAGTTTTTGAGATACAGATCAAATGCCATATCAATCTTCATCTGCTTTCCCACAGAAAATCATGATAACCATGTTTAAGATCCTAAAGCTTATGGGGTCTTATGCAATTCAGTTTTCTGAATCAGCATCCCAAATAACCCCAGGAACAGGCCTAAAATCAAAACACCAAGAAAAAATTGTAGGGGGGGGGGGTGTCTGTGTTATTTATTGCCTTCTCCGAACTTATGGAAAGGAGAGGCGTGAGATCAATGTGATAGATGAGATTTTCTTCCACTGTCACTTCCAGTGGAGGGGAGCTTAAGTTGATAATTTAAAATGGCAGAAAGAAAGTTTCCAGCTATGTAGACTGGAGTCTATATAGGTTCCCACCAGGTCCAGGAGCTGAGGAAAGGTCTCCCTCATTCTCAACTCCCACCATTGTTGCCTCTAAGGGAGAGAAGAACAGCTAGCTTCTCCTTAAGCTCCTCCCAGCAGTTATTCCCATTTTCAACAAAATTAAGGGAACCAAGGTGCTGTACAAATACTGCACTCAGCTGAGTATTCAGTGGGTCCACTGAGTCCTGGAAACAAGAGGAGGACCTCTCTCCAGAAGGGTCTTTTCTCTGCCATTCACATCAGAAAGGTTCTGCTCCTAGGCAACTCGAAAATCCTTGGCATCTCTCTTTATAGAAGCCACCCACAAACGGCAGGTACTGAAGGCCTTCAGCAACGTGCTGTGAGTCATTCACAGGAAGCATCTATGCTTGGCTCTCTCAGTGAGCACCTCCAGCGCAGGAGATTAAGTATATCCTTCATTGTACAAACCTGATTCCCTAGGGATATATTCCCAAAAAAAGTCCCTATGTAACAAAATATCAACTGCTCACCCCACACAGACAAAAAAAACAACTTCATGGTATTAATTTGACATGAGAACAACATTTGATCAGCTTCTTGGTTCCATCTGAGATTTTAGGGGCTTGTAAGTGGACAAACATAACAAGATCTAAATAGCTACTGTTGAATGAATACAGGTTTAATACATCCACAATAGCAAATACCTGTAAATATATTTTAAGGGTTGTGATTATTTCATTTTATATATATTTCCAATTTTCTTTGCCGAACACTTGTCCTTAACAAGCATACACTTCCTTTAAAAATAATGTTTGAGGCATTTGATGAGCACATTGCCTTTAATCCACTGTAACAATTATCATGCAATGTTTCAAACTGGTGAGATGGCTGTTCCTGAAAAGTTGCCATGCAGGACATATATTATGAAAGCAGAAGGGAATATTATTTGTGATGCCTTGTTTGGCAGCCTGCTCCAGTTAACTAATCACTAAAAGCCAAACCCAGGGCACCCTAGGGCATAGGATTCACCTGACGCAGAGCAACTCCAAAGGAAAAACAGCAGCAGGTTGCATCTCCATAGGTGATCTCTTTGCTGGCAGTTCCCGCACATGTTTCCCAAAATCCAAAGCAAGGCTGCAAATCTAGGAGAGGAAACAAAACTAGAGCAAGAGAGCCGAGGGAGCTGAAGGGGAAGTTGTTGCAGAACACCAGGGCCCATTGGAAACACTTTCCTGCCACTTCCTGCTTCACATTAATTAACTTAATTTCTTTACCAGATTCCTGGATGGGATGCTAAGCATTTTTCTGATTTGCTTGCAACAAACATATAGAGCATGTCATCTAAGGGCACACACTCAGTTTCATCACACTGTGAAATTCTGCAGCCATTCTGTTGTCCCCACAATTATGCTGGAGATGTCACCATATCTATGGTGTAAGACCAGATCAAGGAAATAGTTCCCTTTCAGGAATCCTTTCAAACTATACCGTTAAAGTGCTATGTTTCCACTTGGACTGCCATGACTGCCCTGGGATTTGGAACTTGGTCAGACACACCAGGGGATCTCCCTGGCTGAGGATGCTAAAGAGTCCTTCCTAAACTACAATCCCAGTGGATGTTGCCCGGGCAATTAAAGTGGAATCATAGCTCTGTAACTGTGAAGTGTAAGTGTGAAAGGGCACTACAAAGAGAAATGCATTACCTGAAACAGCACATTTCTCCTTACACTGCTCCAAATTCCCAATCATCCAATTGTTTCAATTGCTTTAGCATAAACTGCCCTATTCTGTTAGACAACTGAATCATCTTGATCCATATTATCTACTCCATCAGCATCTCTTCCCAATTTCCAAACAAGGTCCTTCCCCAACATGTGCTTCCAGTCACTCAAGATGCCAAGAGCTGAATGTTTTTGTTTGTTTTACATTTTTTTGGCATGCACAGCATATGCTCAACAAGTCCCATTTCCCTCCCATGGAGATGGTAGTGGAGCCACTAAAGACTTTCTCTCCTTCAAGTTTTCTATCCATCTCAGCTGTTGAGGCTGTTTTCTGGTGGGCATCCCTAGTTTGGAGATGCATCAAGACTGCAAAGTAAAATGCATCAAGACAGAATATTGGGGCTATAGAGCGTTAAATCTGCAAAATTCCACATTTTTGAAAGGCTGCCATCCAAAGACTTACCTTGGCTGACAAGAGTCGTTCTGCTAGAGTTTGTTCTAGATGCCGCTTAAGAGGAAAGTTCAATAGAGGTCAGACAAAATGCTACTTGACCCATAAAGCAGGAAGGACAAGAGTTGGCAGTTTTTGAAGTTCTTACACTGTTCTTGAAGATGCAGAAATCGCAGAAAACATAGTGCCTCTTGTCCTCATGAGGGTCTGATTTTGCAAACAATAAAAAAACAACACAGTTCAACATAAGATTAAAAATAACCACAGGATGGTCAGGTTACAAATCAGAAGGGAAGCTGTCTGCCTTATGTGGCAGCTGTTGATTCCTAAGGGAATTTAGCAGCAGAGGAAAGGTGCCCGAGAGAGGGAGACACAGACAGCAGACGCAGCTGCATCCAGGTCTCCTTTGCTCTCCCCCTTCCCCTCTGATTTGAAGACTCTCCCACCTTTATTTAGTCACAGCTTCATCACTTTCCAGAGCAGGGAGATGGTGCTCTCTCCCTACCATCCCTTGCACTAGCTGCAAGGCCCATGGAGGCCAAGAGCCACCAGAAGATCAACCTTCACTCTGACAATGACCCATCAAGTAAGAAGAAACACAAGGCAAGCTACTGGGTTACTAAAAAGAAGGGTGGATTTATGATGAACACATGCAAGAAGAGACTTATCAACAGGCACAGACAGGTACGTGGAGAGCCCCAAAGAGTGACACCCACTGGGTCAGTATGACCTGCTTCCACCTCCAAGGAGTAAGGCCAGGAAGGAGAAAGTCTGGGTAAGTGATCTGGCTTCAAGGGATCACTGGCCAGGAGACTGAGACAGAGCAGGAAGGGAAAGTATTTAATAGTGGGAGCAAAGAGGCTTTTGGAAGAGAGAGCTGTTCTTTTGCACAACTTTTATCTTCTCCGGCACACTGTGGTAGATCCCCACAGAAGGATAAAGATTCACAGGGAACAAGAAGCCTTGCAAGACCACATGGCATGGCCATGGCAATCTCCCTGCAGGGGACATTCTTGTGTTTGTCCTAACCAAAACAAAGTGGGTTGCAGCTCTGAAGAGCAAAAGTAGCCAACATGTAGAGCTTCAGATTTTAAGAGCAAAGGTGATGTAATAGTTGGGGCAGTAGATGGAAATCCAAGCTGAAGCCACGACTGGATCAGTCACTCAACCTGACCAACTTCATAGCATCATTGTGAAGATGAAATAGTAACGGGGGGAATCATGTATTCTTTCCTCAAGCTCACTGAAGGAAAAACAGGCCATCAAATGTAACAAGTAAACATTTCCCAATAGCTATCATTTGGAGGGCCACAGATGCCCCACCTCTATCCTTTGGTGAGTGAAGTAGAGTCCTCCTAAGCAGGTACATGAAACAAGCACCAGGCAAACAATACTTAGTAATTTTACATTGGCAGATATTAAATTTGGGTTGAAGACTTTGTAGAAGATAAAGCCACATGACCCTACATATGAAGTTGGACCTCAGCTCCCACCATTCCTTACCATTAAAATTACTAAGGCTTCTGATATTTGCAATCCAATGTCATCTGCAGGGCCTCAAGATATCTAGCCTTGGGATAAAAGTACATATACCCTGATGTGACAGCTACACTGCTAGATTCCCAAGTCAATAGAGATTGTCACTATATTTTGGAATATAAACATTTTCTAGATCAGTGGTTTTCAACCTGTGGGTCCCCAGGTGTTTTGGCCTACAACTCCCAGAAATCCCAGCCAGTTTACCAGCTATTCAGATTTCTGGGAGTTGAAGGCCAAAACATCTGCAGATCCACAGGTTGAGAACAGTAAATGGGAACTGTACCATGCCCTGCTACATGTTCAAAGAGTCTCTGAAAACTTATCAAACAAATGATCCAAAACTGACTTGCTTTGATTGTTCTATATTAAAATAGGGATTCGGTTTTATATTTTTGTTTCCCACTCCCCCACTTCCATTTGTTCTTTCTTGTCTTTAAAAATATTTCTGCTTTCCTAGAAGTGTACACAAGGTGTACACGGTTACCTCTGGAATACATGAATGCTCTGTTCAGTCACAATAACACAGTCTTGAAGTCTTTACTTCAGGCTGATCAAAGCCAGAGAGCCAGGTTTGTTTAGATCCTTAGATTTCAGTCTCATCCCATGCAGAGGTTGGCCAGTCTAGCCATGCCTTCCTTACCTGGAAAGTCAGCTCTCCACCATTTCCCTCATCAATGCTTCTTGATTTGTTCCTTTGATATCCATTTATCAGATGTGGGCTGGGCACAGAGATTCACCAAATTTATAGTAACTTGAGTGGAATTCTGGAGCCAAAACACAGCAGAGGCGAGAAAGCGGAAGGAAATCCACACAGAGAGGCTGCTGTGTTCCAGGGAACACCCACATGTATCTAATGTAAAACAAACATGGTAGGAACTGCTTAAGTCACGGGGACTTAAAAGTATTGTGAAGGTTTATTGCGTTGCAACAAAGGATTCCCATGCCAATATAAACACGTGCTTTGAAGCACAACATATTAAATGGCCCTCCTTGTGCTGGCAGAACTAAAGGCTGCAATCTACAGCTGTTTCTCAAAAACAAGCTGATCATGGGATCTTCACACAATTGTTTACATGACAAACTGCAATCTGGGAGACAACAATCTTGAGCCAGAGCCAATGGTTTGGTCATCCTAATTGTCCCATTTCTAACAAAAAAACAGAAGGCCACAGTATTCATGTTCTGCCAGGAGCTTCATTTAATAACCGGGTTGGGAAAAATCAGGGGTCCTAGGAATCTGTTGCAAACCAACATAATCTCAATCCAGAATTAGATGGACCAGCAATCTGTCTGGTCAGAGTAAAGAACCACAGAGTTGGAAGAGACCACAAGGGCTATCCAGTCCAACCCCCTGCTATGCAGGAACACTTAAATCAATGCACATCCAGCCTCTGCCTAAAATCCCCCAGAGGAGACTCCACTGCCCTCCAAGGCAGCTATTCCACTGCCAAACAGCTCTTATGGCCAGGAAGTTCTAATGTTAAGTGGAATCTTCCCTCCTGTAATTTGCATCTATTGCTGTGCCTGTCTCTAGAGCAGGAGAAAACAAGCTCCTTTCCCTCCTCAATATGACATCCTTTCAGAGATTTAACCATGGCTATCATGTCCCCTCTCAGCCTTCTCTTCTCCAAGCTGAACCTACCCAGCTCCCTCAGCTGCTCCTCATAAGCTTCCAGAGCTTTTAGCATTTTGGTTGCCTTTCTCTGGACATGTTTCAGCTTGTCCATATCCTCCTTGAATTGTGGTGCCGAGAACTGGACACAGATTCCAGGTCAGGTTTGACCAAGGCAGAAAAGACTGGGACTATGATTTCCCTCCATCTAGACCAGGCATGGGCAGACTTTCACACTTGGGGGCCACCTGCTAGCACCCCCTGCTAGGAGGAAGGAAAGAGAGAAGGAAGGACAAAAGTGAAGAAGGGAAGGGAAGGGAATGAAGGGAAACATAAAGGAAAGAGAGAATGAAGGAAAGACAAAAGGGAGGATGGAAGTAGAAAGAGGGAGAGAGGGAAGAAAGAGACAACGAAGGAAGGACAGAAAGGTGGCAAGGAAGGATGGAAGGAGAAAGAGAGGGGGGGTAAGGAGGGATAGACAAAAGAGAAGGGAGGGCGGGAGGGAGGAAGAGAAGAGAGAAAGAAGGAAGAAGGATGGAAGGGAATGCAGGGAGAAAGAGGGAGAGGGGAGGAAAGAGAGATGGAAGGAAAGACAAAAGGGAAGGAAGGGAAGGAAGGACGAATGGGTGGAAAAGCAGGAGAAAGAGTGTGGGAAGGAAGAAGGAGAGAAGGAAGGATTGGATGGTGAGAGAGAGGAGGGTTTGAGAAAAGGGCCCAAGGGGCTGCACCTGGCCCCCGGGCCTGAGTTTGCCCATACCTGATCTAGACACTCCTATTGATACAGCCTAGAATCTCAATGGCTTTTAAAATTGCTACATCACACTCTTGACTCATGTACAGATCATGGTGTATTAAGACTTGATGTGTTTCCTAATTGGGATAGGCTGTACTAAAAGACTGCATTCAGCTTACACCTTGTGAAGATCCCTTACCTTGCCAGCCGGGGTGGCAGGGCCTGGGAGAGACAGGCTAGATAGTTTCAGCTTAGAAGGCCTGGCAGAGGGCAGCAGGAGCCATCTTAGTTTAGGGAAAGCTCCAGTTCAGAGAGGGGGAGTGGCCTAGGCCTGAGCCAGCCCTGAAACAGCCAGGATTGGTTTGTTAAAGGGGGGCGGAGTTAGACTGTTGGAGGGAAAGTAAGAAGCTTTTTTTAGTCAGTTCAGTTCAGTTCAGTTCTGGTTGCTGTTAGAGTTAGAGCAGGGTGACAGAAGCTATTAGGAGTTCGTGATTAGAATAGGCAGTTTGCCTGGAGTTTGCACAGTGAAATAGGCTGTGGCAAACTGGTTACAGCTATTTTAGGGAAAATAGCTGGGTTTTGTAATAGGAACTGTAACAAAGATAGAACCATTCTCTCATGCAACCGTTACGCTTTTTAAGAACAAGAACACTTTAATTGTAACAGCCAAGCTTATGAAACTGCATTCTCTTCATTCTGTAACTTTTAATCAATAAACTTTCCTTGTTATTTTTGAAACTTAAGCCTGAGTCACGTGCCAT